CTACACTAATATTTAGCATATTTCAAGGAAGATTAAATTGCCACGCTTTATAAAGAGCGGAGTCTTTGTGGCTTATGTGCGCTTTAACTTATAAAATGTGTTGTGTATTATTTCAACCCAATGGACAATTGCAGTGGGGGTTTTTTTTGTTGTTGTTGCCAAATGTATGTGCAGACATCACGGAGAACAATGTACCCTCCACTAACAAGGACGTTTGTGTTGTAAGGAGTCAGGGTGGCTTAGTTTTAAAGGTATCCAGTTGCTTCATTTGAGCCATTGGAATGTGTGCCGTGTATGCACCTTAGGTGTACGTGTACATTATTTTCACACAGATACAGTGACATGCACTGAATGTCGGCATTGTTCATTCCCCTGTAGGGAAAAATGGTAAAGGTATGGTCACAGTTACTTGCAATAACAGCCATTACATCCGTTGTAGCCATTATCATCGGTAAATTATGAGAAGATAATTAGAGATTTTAATCCCCGTACATTTTGAAGAATGCTTTGATGTAAATTAACACTCTTGATAGTCTATGGACATCCAAAGACCTGTCAAATTGTCCCTACTTAGCGACTTTTTCCCCCCTCCTATCACACCATTGCCTTTAAACAGTTTACGATCTGGCAATTAAGTTGACATTGCCGACCGTGCAGAGGATTAGGCAAATTCCCCGCTTCCGACTCTTCTCTCCGCCTGTTGCCACACACACGCGCGCGCACTCCGGCCGTAATTAATGTTGCTGCCATAAGGGTGGGGAAATGGCTTCTGGGCGGGCCATACCAACCTCTGCCACTTCCGCGGGGGTGCCAGCGGCGTGTGGAGAGCGACCCTGGAGGTTAGGGCGGCAGTGTCAGGGAGGTGCGCGCGTTTGCCGGAACCACCCCAACCCACCTCTCTCGCCGCCGCGCTCATTTAACCCCCGGCGTTCGTCAAACGCGCGCGCACGCACACACATACACAACGCACGCGCGCACACACAACGCACGCACACACACACACAAAACGCGCGCACACACAACGCGTGTGTGTATATTGGGCTCTCGTAAACAACGGCGCGGCAGGAATCTCCGCGTAGCCGTTTTGCTTGCGCGCGGGCGCCGCAACGAGACACGGTCGGTGGGTGTCTTCCACAATTACGCGCAGTCGCCCGCGGGAGGCAGGGAGTGGGGTGGGGGGTGTCCAGCAACGGGGTTGGGATTTTGCCGGGCGGTGGACGGGCGGGGAGTTAAAATTGGGCGAGACGGGGCTGGAATTTGCTCTGTCCAAACAATGCGTCTGCGAGGTCTTGGTCCTGGCATGCCCGAGCTTGCGAGCCCCACTTGCTGAGAGCTCGGGAGAGAGAGAGAGAGGCGAGGCACATTCACGCGCACGCGTGGTGCAAGCGAGAGAGAGGGGAGGGGAGGCAGGCAGGGCTGTGTGTGCATGCTCCGCGGTCGGCACTCTGCGTCTCAACTCGGGGCGAGCTACACATGCCACCGACCGCCAAGATGGGCTTCTACGGCACACTCAAGATGATCTTTCATAAAGTAAGTTTCAAAAAAAGATGTGCTTAATGTCATCCCCCTTGTTTAAGTTGAGCACCAGTCAGATGCCAGCCCAGCATGTCGCATTAGGGAAAACGTTCTGATATTTGTGTTCCACCAGGCAGCGTTTTGTAAGCCGTGATTTATTTCTCTCCGTGTTTGTAAACATGCATTACTTTCATTGTGGAATAATGAGTGATGATCCTGCCGTACATTTGCTTTGCTATGAAAACACTTTATTCTTCACGCCTCTTGCACAGAGAATACAAATTTTAGAGCTCTTAGTGCTGGATGTGCTTGCTTTTTATTTATATATAATTCACCTGCGACCACGTATCTTATTTAGAAGGTGTGTGTGCTTTTAGCTGTTCAGAATTTAATTAAAATCAATGCACGACTGATGCGAGTGTGGGAATATTGCTGAAGTTTGATAAATATTAATGATATCTAATGCCACGATGATGGTGCAGACTATACAGCACTTGACTTAATATTTAACCAATCGATGCAATGTAAATAATTACGCCAATGCATTGTTGATTGATGACGCGTTTGCCGTAACTTTTTAATGGGGGGGGCGTGGGGGGGGGGGTATAGGCCAAGCTATTAATGAGGGACCATTGTTTGTTGCACTCTGGAACATTTTCAAGTGTTCAAAAGACCCAGCAATCCTGTCCATGGCCAGACAATGAGTCTGCAGCCTTTCTGCCTGTAACATCACGAGCTGTCACTCGGGATCCATCACATCTCCCCTCCCACCCCACCCCGCTCATGAATACACATGGTGATGCGCGCACACTCAAGGCAAATTGCGCACACACCGCATCGAGCAGCAGCAGCCACTCGCCCACGCGCGCGCAAACTCGCCGGGTCTCACCCACGGCCCGTGCGCAAAATCTCCCAATGCGCACAGACCGGCGCATTGGGAGGCACAGCACTGCCCACCAAAATCTATTGGGGTCGTAGCGAGTCAAGCCTAGGGTGGATTGTCCCCCCCCCCTCCCAAAAAAAATTGCAATCTTCCTTCGTTGCTGCAACGGCAGTAATGTACGTCCGCCTTGGCAGATGGGGGGGGGGGAGGAGGAGGGAGTGCTCTCCCGTGTCCTCTGCTAAGCCGCCGCCAGCACTTGAGCACCACGCACTTCTTTTGCCTGATTGCGTAGAGTACAGATTGCGCGTGCGCTCCGGCCGCTAGCACGCGCCAGCGTGTCCTCAAGCGGCTGGAGGGGCCGGGCTAATCATCGCTCCGCATGGGGCCCGGGTCTAAGCCAGGGCTGGGGCAGGGGGCTGTGACTGGGGGGGGGGGAGCAGTTGTTTGTGTGAAAGCTGTCTCAAAAGCCCAACAGTGTTACTGCGCGTCGTCTCAATTTCCTGCAGCGCGTGCTTTTTGGGGGGTTTTTCCGTAGCTCGTAAATAGACGTCTCCGCTAGGGTAGCGATAACTCAGAGAAATGTCAAGTTGTGCCTGATAACGCCGTTTTCATAACTGCTGGGGGGGGGGGGGGCTTGTCTTTTTGGCTTTTGCGTGCAAATGCTGGGTATTTGCGATCACATGATCATCATATGAACGAGCCGCACGGAATTTTACAGTCATTTGAAACGTGAATAATTCAACGCAGCTATATATCTTCTCTCCGTGCCGTCATAAAATATTGCAATTGAGAAAATGTTTTCACCAAAATCATTTATTTAATTGCGTGTAATTGCATTGCTGCATTTCACGCCGCAATTTATCAGTACTGTATCTAGCATGGTAACAAATTAGTCGTGAGCGCATATAAAATAAGACCTCATAAAAAATAATCATTGACCTTACATTGTTGTTATTACTTACACATTCATAAAGTGTGTTTCGATTTCCATGCAGCTGTATGTTGTATTATTTAGCATATCCAGTGCACTACTCTGACTCTCGATGCTTTAAGGCTAGAGGGAGCCAGCCGCATTGAAATCTTAATGAAGTGCAAAAACTTCGGGGGCTCCTCCTTGCATGTGCGCCTGTCATCCGTCACCAACTGGCCCGGGGGTTCAGAGAATCACCCCACAGACTCTGGAGTGCTGCTTCTGCTGCTGTTATTGACCAGAACTACCACTATTATCGTGGAAAGTATTACCGTTGATATTGCCATCATCGCGTTTCGTTGCTGACGAACCTCCCGTGCATTCTCTCCGGCTGTAGAAGGCTGCGATGCACCTCGTTTTCGCCAGCGGAATACAAATGTTTTGACATTGCTTGCAGCCGACATCTCATTTAGAAGCGCGTCTAACACCCAGTGACCTACTTTTTGTGAAGGCTGTTGCATCAAAAGACGGTGGCAGTTGTCAAGTTCACACTGAGACACGGAGCGTTTCGCCATCTTGTGCCCCCACCACACGTCAAGGAAGCTCGGGCCTTGGGTTTTCTGAGTGGGAAGCCTCGCTATCTAAATTAGCATGCTTGCTATCTTTGGGAACACCCGTTGGGACTATATTCAAGGGCCAGATGGAAAGGAGTAGGAGGAGGGTTAGGCGCTGCCACAGGTGCATCGTATCCACGAACGCATGGGGCCAAGACGGCTTGATTTGTAAGCTGGGATTGTTTGATGGAATCAAGCGAAACAATTGGGGAAAATATTAAGTCGACTCGAAAGGAATAGCTTTCGGTGGACGTGGAAGACACGTGGCAGTACAGAGGCGGGTTTGCTTGGTTGAAAAAAAAAACCTCTGCGTAAATTTCAAACAACGTCCCGCGGTCAAGGAGGCTGACACACAAACGTCCGTGTTAATGAGCCATCTGGGAGGTCTGCTCGTACAGTTGCTGCTGCTGCTGCGTGATATTTGCTTGCCCGTGGCCGCTGCCGCCAGACCGCCCCACCGCTTCTGTTTTTTTGTTGGGGTTTTTTTCCCTCTTTCCCCCTGCCAGACCACGCCGTGGCCCACGGCCTGCTCGCCCCCCTCTTCTCAGTTCCCCGACGCTGGCCCCTCCCCTCCCCACCCCGACCCCACAGGCTGTCGCCGTTGCTCATTGTGTGACATGTTCCTGTTTTTGCTTCTGCCCGCCATCACGACTGTCTGGGCAGTTGCCATTCTAGTTTGTTTGGCTTCGTGCTCAGCTGTAAATATAATAAATTATGTTTTGTTTTTTCTCTTGTTTCCCCCCCTCACCCCCCCACCACCCATAACCTTTTCTTGCTCCTTCACAAATATGACATCATTGTTTTGTCCTTGCCATTCCTTGCCCTTCATATTTTAAAATTGATGTACCCTCACCTATTCTTTTCAACACATCCATACAATAAAACCACATTTGACTTTCACATGCATCTTTTCACCGCTTGCCGACTTCGCTTTTCATTGACTTCCGACATCTATGAACCTCGTGCACTCATAACCCGCTTCCTCTCCATTCCACCTCCTCGTTTCTATCCTGCTCTAAATGAACCACGCCCCCCCCCTTCCATACAACCCGTGAACCCCTGACCCTTTCCCACACAGATGAAGCGCAAGTCAGAGCACGGCCCTGACATGCGAGCCCTCTCCCCAGGCAAGAAGCCCTGCAAAGGGTCGGAACATCCCAGGTATGTTCCCACACGGAAGAATGCAAGAGGCAGATAACTGGTGTGTGGGTGGGGGAGGACCATTGGCTCTGGGTTGTGTGTGGGCCCAGGTCAGATCCGGTTTACTTTAAACATCAACTTTCAGTGGCCCATGCAAGGAATCAGTTTTTCACATTCCTTTTTATTTCTTTGCCTCCCTAAGCCAACATATAATTCAAGATGGTGAATCGGGTGCACGGCTGTCGCATGGATTTTTTTTGTGTTGTTATACCACATCCAAGATGGTTTTAGGATTAAACAAAAAAAACACATTATTGTCCGTGCCTTTCAACACTGTGGCTATAAAGAGTGAAGGAAACCCCGGCGCATTTGCTGGTGGTTATTTTTGCCGAGCCGGCGCCGCACAGCCCCGTCCTCCCATGCGCCCAGCCTCTAAAACCCTTTTCCTGCTGCTGCCACAATTCAGCGCTGTCGTTTTGGGGGCTGAAAATCCCTTCGTGAAAATGTTATTAGGGGCCCAAAGCCGTGCGCGATGCTGTCACCTCGTGCTACTTTGCGCGACTGTGAATTTAAGCGCACTCTCAAGTCTCCACCCAGCACGCAACCAGCAGGTTACCTAATATAAATGCCCATACTTCTGTGTAATTTAATTAACAAGGACAAAAAAAATATGCATTCCCCACAGAGCTTTTCTTTCGTGCTCTTTCCATTTTTGGAATTTCAAACATTCGTGCGCTGTTTCTTTCCGAGGCTCGGGAAAGAAATGTGTAAATGGCTGGATGCCAGGCAGCAGAGGACAATGCCACTGATGTGTGCAACGACATCATTGCGTTTTGTCTTTAATTGTCTAGATACCCATGGCTATCTTTCCATGACCGTGTAGCCTGACTTTGCATATTTCATGTCTGACCGACAGACGGGTCGTTAGTTATTCTGAAGTGAGTGCTAAATTAGAATTACCTGACCTTGGATTAGATAGGAGAGCTACGAAGAAAAAGAATAAGGGTAATCTTTCAATTAAAGTGTTTAATATTTTTAGCCAGAAAATCTAATTAGTGCAAGATCTGCTTGGGGGACTTCATGGTTACATTTTAAGGCTTGTTTAAAGTCGCCAGATTTTAAACATCATGCATGATCAATCAAATGTAATGCGATTTGTTGAAAAGATAAATAACTTAGCAACCAGAAAATATGGCACATAAACACACTCAAACACAAACAAATCAACCTTAGTATATCAGGATCGCTGAAGGGGACAGGAGCTTAAATGCTTTAAAAATGTCAGAAGGGTCAAGAAAAGAATTTGAAATTCTTAGTTTTGAAGGGTCTGAGCTCACAGTGGAAAAAGAAACTTAAGTCGGTTGTCTCGGCTCAAATGACGTAAAGGTTCGAAAGAAAAGCGTGGCCCTCGCAGCAAAGCTGCCTTACGGAGTTCATCTCTCTATGGCCGGGGATGCGTAAGGGGGTAATTGTGGTGTGACTGCAAAGTGGAGCCTTCGTTGTACCCCCTTCGGCTTCTCACATGTCTCCGCTAATTTTTTCACAAGACCCGCACTGCGCTCTGGTTTGTACGCTAGCCGCGGGGTCCTGCCCCCCCCTCCCCGTCGTCTTGTAAATGCACTCTTGCATTCCTGCAGCAGCGTAACTCTTGTGAGAATCGTGCAGGTCAAAGGGGATCCTGGCCTCCCCGGGAACTGCGGGGAGGGGGACAGCGGTGTGTGTGGGTAGCGTGTGGGTAGCGTGTGGCTCCAGGCCGCACAGATCTCGCCTTCTGGAACCGCGTGCCTGGAATAGCTGTCAGTTCTTTAGGCAGTGGCCTCATCAGATGGCAGTCGTGTGAGATAATCTTGCCAGATTCGTACACTGGACTTTTTTTTATTACTATTTAATTTTTAGGTCCTCTCTTTGAAGGCTGGTGATATCTCTGCTTTGGCCTCTGGGTCCACGGTAATGATTACAACCTGATAAACATCAGCGGGAAGGAATGAGAACCATATAAACACACAGCACATCAAAGTACAACGAACATTTCTGTGCATTTTTGTAGTCTGGAAAGGATAAAATGCAAAAAGCATTATTTTAAAAAATTCGAGAATTCCTTTTTTTGAAGCGTAATGTACTTGCAGCATCCCATTTTTGTGCTAACAATATCTCGTACAACCTGGCTACCATTTAGTGTATTGTTATCAGAACATTGCACTCGGAAATGTAACACGAGTGGTTTTAGGCAATTGCAGTATTGCTTTGCTATAGTCGCTTAACCTACAGTACCTGGAAAGTCTAGAGAGACAGCAACTATATTGAAGAACTGGGGGTAAAATTATTGAACATTTTTTTCTTGGTGAACCTGTTTTATTCCGATGGAGTGAAACATCATTTCCCCCATTGCCCTTGCAGGCCACGTTGTTAGACGGCACTGCATCCTTCCCCTTTTTTTGGATTTTGTGTTTTTGTGCATGCAAGAGGAATGAGCTTCTTCCTGTGCATTAAAATGTGCTTTAGACCAGCGTCTGTCCCGAGGATTCCAAAGCACACAATATTGCACGGCAACTATAATGAAATATTCATCATTTTATTCTTTTTTTATTGGTACACGTTATTGAATTGTTTATTTTCATTGCTCGCAGCATAAGCGTAAACACGTTAACGTGTACTGCATAATTCCAGGGCATATTAAGTGTACGGGTGACAGTGTTAGGTTTACAAGTGACAGTTGGCGCGTTCCATTCTCACGTTAGGGTGCACCGGAGGCAGTGATGATGATATTATTATGGTGTGACGATGCACAGTCGCTGGCTTTTAAAACATGTCCGGTGCTCGTGCAGTGCCCTAGCCATACCCTTCGGCAGACGATGGCGATGACCGTGTGCGCATTTGCTAGCTTTTAACGCGTCCGCTATTTTCCCGTTGCTACCTCAAGTCACGCGCTGGGCTCGCTGCTGCCGTGCACGAGCGTGCCGACGACGTTCGGGGAGCTGCGTGCAGCGAGCGGACAGGGCCAGGGCTCCTCCCGCCGCCGTCTCGCGGGCGTCACTCCTCCCGCGGAGCTGCAGGACTGGCTCAGGACCTTCCAGGTAAGGGGCCGTGAAACCCCGGCTGCGCGAAATCTCGACGTCCGCGTTCGCTCGTGTCGTTTTTCATAAACGATTTAAAATGAAATTACGGCAATGGCAGTACGCTTTGCTTTTTTTTTTAATTTTAAAACATTTGTCTCTCGGGGAAACTTGCATCTACCATCAGAGTCATCGCTTTAATTAAACTCCTTGCGGCCTTATTTAATGAAAGGATTTCATTTATGAAAAATTAAAAGCTGAACAATTAACTAAAAGGCCCGCACTGCCATGGCTGTGTGGCATATAGATGTTAAACGCCACAGCTTTCCTTAAAAAAACGCCAATATCCACCGCGATGAAACTTTGTGGGGATAATTGGCATAAAGAAAAAAAAACGCCTCTGCATGCAAACACAGTGAGGCACAGTGGGAAATATCAGCGCGTAATGTCTTTTCTACGTTATTAGTGAACAGGGCCTTGTGGACCTGAGCACACTGGTGTGGGTCAAACCAAATGGAATTAAAGGAGTTATTAAAAAAATAAATTAGATAATGTAGTCCACATGATTCCTTCTGTGGGTTTTTTTCCTCCTGCACTGTCAATCTTCCAAGGTGAAAAATCTAGAGCAACAGCTACAAACTACTGAAGTATGGAATTTAATAAAATACAATTCAATAGAGAATAGCACACAGCCACCTTTCCCTGTTCCCTGCTAAACGCTAGTGCAATACTCGTGTTTGACATGCAAAATGCACAAGTGCTTTAACTTCAGTGTGTGAGATTTATTTATTATATGTTGGCACTTGGCAAGCATTTTCTATTTTCGCTGTGCTTCTCAGGCAGATGCATAGTATGATGCCGCTTGTTGGGTGGCTTGATGGCCTGTCTGGGGTTTGGACAAGCAAGAGCCGGGAGCCCTCGCGGATGTGATTGCGTCCCTGTGTTTGCGCGGTCCAGAGTCTGTCAGACTGACACTCGACTCTCCTTGCCTGTTACTGAGCCAGCCAGAAGAGATGGCCTCCACTGTTCAATCGATTGGTGTAATCGTCTCCATCATCCTACCTCTCTGTTCGCTCTCTCTCTCTCTCCTCTCTCTCCTTTCTCTTTCTGCATCACTGTCCGTCATGGAGCTAAAACAGACCCGGCCATCTCATCTAATTTTTTTTTTATCGAAGCTACATCGATCAATGCAGTGCGCTTGCCTTTTCCATTCCCGAGTTGCGTACTACCCATTGCATTACCAGTCCAGGCCTTGGCATGGATGCGACAATTTATCTCCCGTACTCCCAGATTATTTTTCACAACAAACCTACGCCTGGTTTCGTTTGTCTTTCTGTTCGTCTTGTTTGATTGATTTGTGTGCGTGTTTGTCAGCCTGTGTGTGCGCGCGTGCGTGCTCGTGTGTACTCGAAATGGAGTGCAGTGTCTTATTTATACAGTGCCGCTTTGGTCAGCAGTTCATTGTAGTGATTCATTGTCCACGTAGAGAAGTGCAGGCACAAACCACACCGGGGATGTATTTGTTTTGTTTTAATGCAATAGCAGTGCAGCCAGAATGAATATTATGTCGCCTACATGAGTGCTGCTTCGTACAGAGAATTGTATTAGTGTATTAACTACAGGAAAGCCCTGGTAAGCCAGACCAGGTTGGCTGGTAATAAAATGTGTCTTGTGGATTAAATGTAAGAAATCTAAATGTAATCAAATAATTTGCACACAACATACATTGTAGAATAATGTATGCAATGTATACAGGATAAATATTTTTTGATTTAAAGCTTTCGTGACTGCAGTAATTCATATTCTTAAATCTTTCGGTAAAGCCACGTTATATATATTATTATTTTTTTGTTTCGCTTCAGCGTGACTTTACCGAAAGAGCTAAGAATAGGATAAATATTCTTATCTGGCTGTAATGTGAGGACCTGTGTCGTGAAACCTATTATCCGCTGGGGTTGTCTGCGATTTGACTCCTCTTAACCATTATAGTACTTAATTATACATCTAAAGGGATTTACCTTGAGACTAAGCTGGACTTTTATTAGCAAGAATTAAACTATTGTTGCCAAAAGCCCAATTCAGTTGTGATCGGATTTAACGAAAATGTGAAATTATTCACTTGCCAAGGAAACGCATTTATCATGGAATTGGGCTTTTGCCTCACAATTATAAATTTCCATGGAGTTCTCAAAAGTAGATATTTGGGTCTATAGCCCAACCTATCGCCACGATGACTTGAGCATAAAAGTAAAGGCAGAAGGTGTTTTTTGTAAAAAAATTAAAGCGAATACCTCTGACCTTCGACCCTGGCGGTGACGTGGCACAGCGGTAGCACGTTCGCCGCTTGTTGCAGAGGTTCGCGGTTCCAATCGAGCGGCCGCTCCAATTAATACTGCGGTTATAAATGATAATAACTCTCGTAACTCTACACGCCGTCTGCTTCACAGCGGACGTTCAAGGTCCCCTGACGTCATTCTCCAGAGTAGGCCAGTGTGCCGGTGTCGGGCTCCATATTTGCAAAAATGGCCCAGTTGGCAGAATAAAGCTCCAAATGAGACTTCATCGCGATCTCTTGAGTTCTTACCTCGGCCAAATGAAATTAACTTAAAACGTGATCCTACTTCCTCTAGTTTTTTGTTTACTGAATTAACGATTGTGCAGGAGCGATATGGATTGTGCCATCGCACGACCGTGAGGATTGGCGATGGGGTGGATAGATCATGGATGATGATGACACACTCGCATGTACAAACAAAACGGGCTGGTTTTAACGAGCGCAGAAGGGGCAGGTTCTTTGTTCGAGAAGTATGGAGGTTTTTTCAACATTTGCTGGGAAATGGATCTTCAGGGTGTTTGGAATTTGCCTCATGAACTCGGATCTTTATGTTAAAAGACTGCGTGGACCCATTCCGTCTGTGACACTCGCAAGCAGGCGTTGACAATCATAACGATGATGTGTGCAACCCCCCCCCCCCGCACTCTGCCTGTTGTTTGTATTCTAGAGCTGGAGTGGTCCAGAGCGGCTGCTGGCGCTGGATGAGCTCATAGATCGATGTGAGCCGCCGCAGATCAAGCACGTCATGCAGGTCATCGAGCCACAGTTCCAGAGAGACTTCATCTCCCTCTTGCCCAAGGAGGTACGTCCCCCCTGTATCGACGTGTGCTCTACCTTGCTTGCCTGTGTGACTACGTCGCCCAGAATGTGCCTGCTCTTGTTATTACTTTAAAGCTAAGCAAGGTTGACTCTGGATGGTGCTGAGATGGGTGACCACCATGCACGAAACAGGTTGTTATCGGGCAGGGGGTCTGCACCTGGCAGCTCCGGAGCCGTTTGCGGCTCTCTAAGGCCCACTCCGTGACGTTATTTATGAAGGACCACCGGCTCGTATTCACCACACAGTGCATTGCGGCTCTCTGATGAATTGAGGGGTCTTTTTTGATCGAATGCGAAAAAAATGCCTTTTGATATTTTGGTTGCCGACCCCTGTTAAAAGAGCTGCCATGTGAGCAGTAGAAAGCAGTGCAGAAAAATCCTTTTGTTATTTCGTCCTTCTCAGCTTCCGTGTCTACGCTGCGCAAAACCCGCATTGACCAGCGTGGTGAAATATGGTCCAATAACCCCCCTGACTGCACCTGCGCAGGCATGGCGAGGCCTTCCGACGTGCACATGTCACTGCTGCCGTTATGTATTCATTCCATAGCTGTAATATTAATCTTGCCGAGCCTTGGCACGGTCGCGTTATGTTAGGCCAGTCACTGTGACCTTCTCGTTATGGTATCGAGAGAGATGAGAACAAATCAGAAACCGTTAAACATAGACGGGATTGCTCAGGAACACGAGACAAAGTGGAAGGATATTAACGCATTACCCCTGTGTGTGTGTGTGTTGACGATGCGTCCTTCATAAATTAATGCATTCGCTGTAATCTAAAACTTTTCGCACGAGCTGTTTATTTGATGAACATTATAGCCCTCGTTATTTGTTCAGAAAACCCATGTGATTGCTAATGTTCGTTTTATTTGCCTGTAAGTCCCTCCGACGATGACGACGACGTAAAGTACTGTGCTTGTAAGAAAAAAAAACCTTTAATAACTTGTGGTCCCAGCAGTGTTTGCCAATGACTCTAATGTTAAAGCACTTGTCCAGTCCCAACATCTCCTGAATACATTTTCACACTCACACAGAGAGAGTGCTCTAGCCATGAATTGCATGTAACGTATTATACGTGCCGCTCTGACTCAATAACCACTACAGTTGAGATTTCATCTAAAATATCCACTTTAGGTTTTTCTTTCCTCTGTTGCCATTCTGCATTGCGTTTGCAATTTTTCCACGATTTTTTTTATTCCCCCCCCCTCTTCCTGTGCTCTGTTGCTGTAATTTATTGTGCCGGCTTACAGCATGACCTCTGACATCTGATTTGGCAATGTTGGAGCCCGTTTTGTCCATCTCCCTAATGCCATGTAACGTTAAGAGGTCCCTCCACCACAAGTCAACACGGCCAGGAGGTTGCACTCGGCAAAAATGAGAGTGGACGGGGGTTTAAGAAACAAATAAATAAAGGCGCCTGGATCGCGCGAACACTGCCGAGGGCTGGCGTGCTTCGGGTTCCAAGATAGCTTCACGTTGCAGAGTTGTAAACTAAGCGAAAGCTAATCAGAAGAACTGGGCACTGAAACAAAGGGGCAGGATGCTTTGACCAACTGTTTTTCAGCGGTGGGAATAATTCATTAGGGTAAAGTCGCTATGGTGATGATGGCCGGCAGCTATGGCAACTCAAACTGATTGGCTGTAGTGCGCCGTGTAGGGGCAGCGCTCCGTCATGAATTGAGTGGCCGGGAGCGAAGGCTAGCCCTCGCGAGGCAGCGCTGTCACTCGTCACGACATCACTCTGGAAATTCACTCATTAATTCAATGCTCTGTTAGCTCGTTAATTTATTATTTGTTTAAATATTAACATACATTGTATAAATATGACGGATAATCTCTCTGCCTTCGGACTGGACGCTCTTCATTTGCCGACGAAAATTCGGTGCCGCCAAACAATTCGGGGCTGGAAATGCAATTTTTATTGCCCCAATGCATTCCACGTGGAATTGTGGGATGCGGAGCACACTTAAGGATGCATTTTACTGACACCGATTATTAGCCAGATGCATCTATGCATGTGGCTGCACTGTAACATTCCTTATTTCACAGGTGCCGTTATAATCCAAGCTATTTTTACTTGCAGCCCTCAGTCATTGGCAGGTGTTTCTTGGATACGGACACGCTTGGGTTATCAAGGGGTTGCAGAATTTTGCTTTGTGTGAATTCCCATTTATGCATCCGTTTGAATTGCCCGTAATTTTTTTCCTCCATGTGTTCGTGTTTTGCAAAAACGTGCACAAATTGGTTTGCTGCCTCTCATTATCGCGGATGTTGTTGTTGAAATGTTGACATTGGTGTAATGGGCTTCATAGTGAAGGTGCATTGCATGAGAGAGCACCATACACACACAACGTGCCATACATTTGAGACGAGCTACATATTGTACGCTCTCCACTGCTACGTATTTATAGGAGAACAGCAATGTCTTGATGGAGCAGGAAAGCAAAATTCGTTAAATGTAACCGTTAATTGTAACATTTTTATCACGTGTTTAATTGTCATTTTGATCGAGACGAGTCACGTGTGTAAGCCGCCACCGCGCCGTTTTGCTTGGTGCGTGAAATCGCGATGGGGCCGTCCTCACCTGACAAATCCGGGTTGCTACTTGAGGGCATTTAACTGCCAGATGGGGGGGTCTGTGTGCCACCCTGGCAGATTGTAGGCTGCAATTAACTTAAATTCCCTGCCTCTTCTGCGTGACGCACCCGACGCGCCCCCGGATGCGCACGCCGCATCTGTGCTCTGCTGTTGGCTTAAGGAGTGAGCTCTAATGGAATTTAGCCGCTTCACAGAGAGCCATTTACATTTCGTAATCTCTAAACGTTATTGCCGAGTGTGAGCTTAAAGGCAATGGAGGAAATTGCATTGGTAGATATTATTATTGTTGTGAATTTTTTTTTTACCATGATGAAAAATGTTTTGTACTACAAATGCAAAATAGTACAAAAAAATAAGCAATCCTCACTAAGGTCTGTATTCTACATGGGTAAATTTTATATTTTCCACGCGGCAGATTAAGGTGAGCAAGTGAAAAAGGGCGACGCATACAATGCGTGATTATAAACATGAGCATTTATAATGAGGTCCAACAACATTTCTCCCACACGCTCTGCGTTCGGTAACGCGTTTTTGTTCGGATCACAGTCGCCAAGCTCGCCTCGCGATTTGAAGTGGGTGTGAGATTTTCTAGGTGTGCAGCTGAAAAAAATAGCTCCAGTGATAAATCGCTTGACCCTTGGGAACGATCAAAGAAAGGTATTGGTTATAAACACGGTAATAAGGCATGCAGATTGTACATCAGTTTGTGACATGTCGTAATTTTTGTGCTCTCGCACATTTTTTTGCCAGCAACATTGAAGTGCCCTTATAATTGTTATAATAAAAAAAAATGAAATGTAGGTTAGCAAAGGTCCCAGAGGAGTAGCAGTTTTATACTAATCAAATGCTGATATCTACAAAAAGTATACACTCATAAATACACATCAGCATTAAAACTTTGAGCATTTGTAGTCTTCAAACACTTATATTTACGCCTTCAGTTCAAGCTTACGTCATGTCCATGAGTCAGGCCTAACCAAAGGCATTCTGTGCGGGTGCTGCTCTGCGTGTTGTAGCTGTTTCTTGGTGGGGGTGGGACTGTTTTTTTTAGCGTAACCCCCTGTAAAAGTCACGCCATCTGTGTCAACAGTTGCTTAATTGGACTTGCGGCCAGGGTATAAGCGGCCCCCACCAGCCATGAGGGTTCATTGGGGACCAGCTACCGTTTGACCCCAGTGGCCGCTTGATGGCCTCTTTGGTCCCATCTGTGGGACCAGAAATCACTTCCCCCCCCCCTCCCAACTGTGACCACACAGGGGAGCATGAGGGGGCAGCCCCTGCCCCCCCACCACAGTCTTTCCACCCCCCCACTCACATAATCGTGAGCTCCTTTCTGGGTCTGCACAGTGCTGGAGGTCGCATGTGTTGTTGCAACCGGTGTCGAAAATTAATTTGTCGGCCTCATCACTTCACCTCTGTTATTTGCTGGTGGCTCTGCACTAGGGGTCAATCTGATGACGGGGGGTCCAAAATAAATAGAACAAGGGTTTCTGAAATCACTTGTAAGGGATTACCGTGGTTTTTTGCGAAGAAACCATTCCAAAATAAGTGTTCATTAAACTTTTAGTAAAGGTGCTCCGGTTACTCTGGACGAAGATTTAACAAGGAGAATAAAATCACATCCGATTTTAACATCTGATTTATTGCCAGAAAGGTTAAGCATATTCTTATTTTTTCATCATTTTTCATATTGGCAAAAAGGTCCCATAGATATTACTGCTCATCCCGAGATATTAACACGTTGATATTTGCATTGCCTTTGTACTGTTCGCCATTTGGTGTTCTCTGGTCTAACACTGGTGAGGAAGGACCATGAAGAGGACTCTCTCTGGTCTAGGCCAATCCGTTTCAAAGACGGTGCATATGTTATCGGAGCATGTTTGTTTGCATGTTTTTCCACAAGTACGTGTGGTTAATGCAGACTTGATGCCTTGCAATAGGTTTCTATTTGGCGTTTGAACATATTAACGCCTAATCTTGATTTGAAGCTTTCGTGACTGCAGGAATCCATACTCTGGTTCTTTCGAAAAATTCATGTAGATATATTTTATTTTATACCTACGTTACTTTACCGAAAGAACCAAAGAGTATATTAATGCCTGTTTTATTGCCAGAAAAGGTAAAGCGTCTTATTATTTTTCATAATTTTTTATACTGGCGAGAAGGTCTCATAAATTAATATTTATCGTGTTAATTTAATCGAGAAGAACCCAGTGACTGTCAATCTGGCGAGCTGAGTTCGACTCTTGGGCACCGCTAACATCCGTGGCGCTTGCCAGCATGGGTGAAGTATGGTCAAGCGACCTCCATGACCGAAAGGGTGTGGGTTAGTCTTCACTTAGCAGTGTATTGAGAATGAGCTGGAAATAGTTTATTCAAACGTAAATGTATTTTTGGGGTAAAATTATTATTTTCATAGACATGAAAATATTGAGTTGAGCATACGCAGGGTGAATGGGAAGGTCTTATTTTTTTCGGACAGTTACATCCTACAATCAGTTCAAGCCAAGGGAGGTGATTGTCCCCCATACAGTCTAAGCAAAGTCGATGCAAGAGAGCTCACTACGCCTTCAGAAGGGTGTACCGTCGTCAATTACGCAGATTGCCACCTTGCCGACGCCGAACCAAGCCGAGCAAGGTCGAGAAGCCGCCCTAGCCCATCATGGTCCTCCGGTGCCAAGAGGCACCGGAGGACCATGATGCAAATTTGAATCTCACGCTGCGGATGGGGCGGTATGGGTAGTGAGGGGGGTCGGTTTGTGTTGCAGCAAATGGTGATCCATTCGCTCACGGTGGCAGCGTGTCGAGTGAGGCTGTCCAGATGAAGGGGAACAATTTCACCAAAGGTGGAATGTCGTGAAAAGCACCGCGACCCGCAAATTGTGCAACAGAATTAGAAGTTCTGGCTGTTAATTTATGGAACTCGTCAGCCGTGTGAATGGCCGCTGCCGCCGCTGCTTATGTTACTTGTGAGCCCCGTCCCACTGCCAGAGTTCGGACGGCTTGCGATGGGGGTCGCGTAGAATCCACATTGGCACACAGGCGGACGAAGCATTTTTCGCAATCGGCGCAAAGCCAAACTCACCTTTGGCTACCGTGCCATGAAACAAGACGTTTTTCTTTTCACAGAGGAAACAATATCAAGGCAGTCTTTTCAGTCCCAGTTTACAATATTATTTTTTCTGTTTGCATCCCATTGCTATTCTTTCCTATTTGCAGTTCATCACTGGGAGCCTTTGAAGGTGTGAACCCTGTGTGAGACCGTGCCCGCTGCATGGATGCGTAATGAGATGGAGAGTTACTGGATTTGTGTAAACAGCTGACCCATGGGAAGGGGCGCGTGCGCCGCACATGCAAAGCGAGCGGAATGAATTAGTCTTGAATCGAGCTTTAGCTCCACATACTCTTTCAATGCCGCCAAATTTTACGACAAACGTTGGCATTTTCTTTTTAAAATCAAAACAAAATCCACACGTCTTCCTCCTACAAACGTTGACGGACGAAGGCATCGCGAGCACAGGTCGTAATACACATTTTGTCCACGTCCAACGTTTCACGGTTTTTTCACGTTGTCCCAGCCTAACACGAATTGACACCGCGGTGCTTTCACAAGGCGTGGGCAATTGCATCCGCAGCTTGCCCCGCTTGCTTTGCTTGCATTTCAGAAGGTATACGGCAGTTTTACGGTACCTGAAGTGGCGTGTCCAAATGATGAGACCGCGTGTTTGATTTGTGTAAAGGGGTCGCTTGCCACTTTGCTTTTTTATTCTGCGGCCAGTCATTTTAGCTGCAGTTTTGCAGCACTGCAAGGCTCCCATAAGATGTCCGAATCCAACACGGAGGGAAACTCATTTTACATCTAATCAATGAGGTTCACACGTTTTAAAGAGAGTCATTGTCTATGTGACCTAAACCGCACTGTAATAATTTTCTGTCACAACTAATGTGAACACATTTGCTGTATGTCAGGCAACTTAAAGAGCCTTATGTTCCCCCCCCTTCCACCACCGTCAGTTCATTTGCAATACGATAAATTCTCCGGTACATTATAATTCTCGTGAAAGGTGACACTTTTCTCCCATAATCGTTTCTGACAATGGCACGGGCTAATGATTACTGATGGGGTGCTGCCTAAGATATAGGCCATGCTTCCACGTGCTGCGTTTCAGATTCCACGGGACGAATGTGCGCGTACGTAGTGAGAATTTTTCCCGCACGAGGGTTAGTCGAGAGGTGTTTAAAATGGGATATTGAAGGTCTGCGCGCGATCGCACATTTGCTTGTAATTCACTCGCCGTTATTAGTATAAAGTACCCGTGACCAAATCCCCCCCGGACTGCGTCAAGACTCGGAAACTCAGCAGGTTTTAGCCTGGATAGCGCTTGGATGGGTTCGCATGATGCATAACAGGTTGCAATTACAGGCTGTGGCAATAGATGCTGGAGAGTAGCAGACAGTGCATTCAAATCCGTTTTTATATTGTACTTGTATCCCCCCCCCCCCCACTTCTATGCTCCCCTGCCATCAACTCGCACATGCGGATAACTCCCAAGAACTGCATGTCCTGGGAAGGCCATCATCCATATCGAACAAAGGGCCACATCTGTACAAAAGTGCAATTACTGGAGAATAAAAAATATATATATTAGCACCTAGCCTTTGATTACCTTTGGTGTAACATTCATTAAAGTGATTGTGTGTGAAAGCTGCTCATGAAGACCGCCGTATTAATGTGGCGACCGTGGATGACAATTATTGTTTAACCGTGTCGCTACATTGTTATCCGTTCCCGCTTTGTGGGCAGCTCGCGCTGTACGTGCTGTCGTTCCTGGAGCCACGGGACCTCCTTCGAGCGGCACAGACCTGTCGTTACTGGCGCATCCTGGCCGAGGACAACCTGCTGTGGCGGGAGAAGTGCCGGGAGGAAGGTACGGATAATAAAAACTTAAAACATCCCCCGTGTAGCCTACAGAGACTGTTAGGGGGAAAGGCTTTCATCGAGCACCACTTTGTTGAGGACGGCACGGCGCGTGGGGGAAGGGACTACTTTGGGCAGCAGCACTCCCAAGCCACCTTTGTCTCCCGAGTGCTGATGTTTTTGCACACTGTAACAAGGTACTCATTTAAGGCTCGAGTCAACCAATCAAAGAGGTCCAGAAGTGTGACTGATATCACTCGCCACTGATGCTACCCATGGCCGGGTATTGAACTCGGCCCGCCGGGTTCGAAGTACAGCGTGCTAACCACCACAGCTGTCAATAACATTTCCTTTTTGCCACAAAGTGATGGTGAAGTCACCACGCTGTTTCTGCCAAGCTAGGTGCACCTTGAGGCCATGTGAAGTGTCTTAAGGCTTGCTTGGAAGGCTGTTACGGAATGCCACAGACACATGCATGCACACGAAAGCACGTTTACACAACTACAAGAACACACACTTGTACGGAGATAAGTATGAACTTAAAATCTCGCACATGTAAGGCACAACTGCCCCTTAATGGCACTACCCACTTTAGTAAATTCATATGAAAAATTCAATCAATTGAGTTAAGGTCAGGGTCCATTGCTGCTGCAGTTTAACTTATTCAGTGTGACAGTAAACTGTGCTGCTCTATTATCCCAGGTCACACAACTTTGCCCAAAGGTCACCGTTAATTTCATTTTTAGACACCAATTCGTACGGCACAAAACTTGGGTGAGATGCTTCCCAGACGAATGAACCATTTAATATTTTAATTTAATTTGAACGTTTAAGGCCATCTGGATTCCTTTTTAGAATTATGTAAAATGGGAATATGTATTTTTTTTTAAGGGATAATATCAATGGGTATATGTGAATGTGCGGGGGGAAATTACTGCTGCAAATATAGCAGCACTTTAATGTGCGTCAGTGAGCCTGATTGGACTTCATCCTCGCTGGCGTGGCTGCCACGTCTCTTCCTGAGCTGTTACTGACACCTTTGCTTTTGACGATATATATTTTTTACGGACGGTCCCCGCCCCGTCTTTCCTTTTGCATAGAATATGTATCAGCGGAATACAATTAACTTATTCATTGGTATGAAGAAAGGTCTTAAATATTTGTACACTTTGTTATCATTGCAAGGCTGCAATTTTTAATCCACTTTTATTTGCCGCCTTCATTTTGATGGCATTTACCAACAATACTCTCGGTTTCAAGTCTTGAGCACAGCTTTCTTTCAAGGTCACAGTCTGAACTTTATGTTGCAGGCAGAGATAGCTTATTTTATTAATTTGCTTTCATCCGCAGCAAAAAAAAAACGTGTGTTCCGTCTCTTCTATTTTCTGTCACTCAGCATTGTAATAATGCAAAAAGAAAACAGTTATCCGAATGAGGAGAGGCTGTGCAAGAGGGAATAGGGGTATTTGCGACAGTGTGCCACCGGTTTGCATGGCCCTGAGGCTGTGAATAATTCAGCGCTGTTCAAGCGCAGGAATTTTCCATTTGCAGAAGATGAGGAAAAAAATATGTATTTTCAGAATTTGTTCCCGCTTTTTGGAGTGGCCTTTTCTTTGTATTGATAATACCATACCCAAAGAAATGCACAAATTATACCCATCGTTTTACCTGTCCATATTCTCATCTCCCTAAATACTTCCTGTCTTCAGTGGAAAACTCTAATGTAAAAGTAATCTTTGTGCCGTACTATTCTTGAGTTATATAAATGTTAACATCTAACGAGCCTGCTCTGTAATAATTGTAAGATTTATTTTATACTTCAGCAATGCGATCACTGTGTATTAAAGATTGTATCTCGGACTCAAAAATGGACCGGGTTGGAGTCCCAATCAAGGTGGATCTAGATGCACGTAAACGTATTAGAGCTAAAGGTGCAGCCGTGCAATTTCTTGCACGTGGAACTGCTGGCAGAAGGGCGTCCGTTAGAGTGAACCTCTGGAGGGTATTTAGTCTCCTTTTTGACGTTGACCAGACGTGTAAATGTATATCAGAATCTTTATTTAGACTGGATGAATCCGATGGGCTTTGAAGATCTTTGTCACAGTTGTTCCAGTCGCGGAAGGTCAGCAAATTAGAACAGCAAACAATACCAAAAAAAAGATTGGGTTTAAAATAGAGAAAATGGTAAACAAGTCACTAAATATAAATATTTGTTTAAGACGCTACAGGTAAACCGTGTGACATCTCGGTAGCAAGATGTTAACTACCTCGCCTGGTATACAGGAGGCCGTGGGTACGTTCCCGACCCTGATACCTCTATATTTGTAGTTTACATGTCTCTCTCCCCGTGGTCGTGTGGATTTTTATTCGGGTCCTCCGGTTTTTCCTTCCATATTTAGAAACATGCATTTAAAATGTTTGGCCATCATACATTTCCACGTTGAGCTAGCATTTGTGGCCAGGTCGCTTCTGAAAAAGCTATTTAGCTCAACGGGCCCATACCTGGTAAAATAAAAAATAGTTTAATTCTCTTCTTTGGTTCTTTCGGTAAAGTCACGTAGAATGAGAATAAAATAATAAATTAATAAAATAACACAATTAAATTCTCGCGACGTTTCGGCCACAACACAAGTGGCCTTCATCAGGTGAAGGGACGAGACTGTCTCGAGGACAGCGCTGGAGCGAAACTTGTGTTGTGGCCGAAACATTGTGAGAATTTTATTGTGTTATTTTATTCTCATTCTATGTGACTTTACCGAAAGAACCAAAGAAGATGAATCCTTGCAGTCACGAGTGCTTTAAATCGAAATTTAGTTTAATTCTGTGTCTGGAGGTTCCTGCTCGTAGTGCGAGGGTGGCGCTTGACCTGCTGCGTTTCCTCTTCCCCCCCCCTCCCCCCAACGACTTGCCAGGTCTCGACGAACCCCTCTACGTGAAGCGCAAGAAATCGGCCACGCCCAACTTCACATACAGTCCCTGGAAGAGCGCCTACATGCGGCAGCACAGGATAGACATGAACTGGCGCTGCGGAGAGATCAGAGCTCCCAAGGTCAGCCTCAGTGCACGGCAAGGCTGCAGATTTCCTCTGGCCTCCACGCTTTGCCTGATAAGCGCTAGATTTATGCCCTTGGCCTCGTCCGCCTGCTCCTCGTGTGTTTTTCTTTGTTCCTTCGTTGGTTTTTTTCTGCACCGGGGAGTCGAACCGGAGATGTGAGATTTATGGTGTTCGTGGCTCATTTGATCAAACCGGGGCTTGGCATGAATATACAACGATGAACGCTGCACGCATCCAGCGCAGAGCTGCAAATGCATTGTAATGTGCTAATGCTTTGGATGTTTGAAAATGTACTGTCATACTCCCCGATTTAGTCGTGGCATAAATTCGCGAGTTAAACAGCCAATCATTGTTTTTTATTGTTTCTGCACAAGTGCAAAAAGGATGTGCTTTATTCCAGTGGCACATCTATCGCTTTCATTCCTGGAGACGATATAGTGTATAGACAGTCACGGTCACTACGTTTACTCACGTAATTTGAAGCTTTTGGTTTATTGGAGAGTAGAAATAAAAAGACACTGATTAACCGCAATCCATCGATGAGAATTAATCTCCAGAAATGTTTCGCTTAAACTTGGTTAAATGTGGTGAGCGATGGCAGCTCATGCGCCTCTGTCTTGTCACAGGTATTGAAGGGGCACGATGACCACGTGATTACCTGCCTGCAGTTCTGCGGAAACCGGATCGTCAGCGGGTCGGACGATAACACACTCAAAGTGTGGTCGGCCGTCACGGGCAAGGTGAGAGAGAGAGCGTGGGCAGCTCCCTGTGGCACGAGCCACTCGCACGGACGACCGCCCGAGGCTGCGGCAGCTCTTTCTGCCCTCCGCATTCCTCAGCACACGTGAGGTCTGCAGCATGGGGCGTCCTCTTTGTAGTCATAGTTTTGCAATAAAGGTTAAAGGCGTAGCCCTGAAATTGCCTGATGACGGATGCTTGTGTTGCGCCCGAAACGTCGTGATTTATTTTATTTTATACTCTACGTGACTTTACCGAAAGAACCAAAGAGTATTGATTCCTGCAGTCACGAAAGCTTCAAATCAAGACTGAAATTGCCTGTTCATGCCACTGCTTGCCGAAGGGCCTCTACTAGAGGGACCTCGGGAGAACCCCTGTAGAGGATATTTGGCATACTCTCTCACGCTGGTCAGACATATTGAAAGAGGTAGGGGGGTACCCACACTTTACCCCACCACACACGGCCTCCATGATCGCCTGTGGTGCACTCGTACATACTGCTGATTAGCCCAGTACCTATCTGGACAGAGGTGGAGAGTGGGGGGGGGTGAATTTTCAGACGTGTGCCCATTGTTTTGAATGCTGTGGTGGGTGGTGCGGTTGAAGCGGCGACCTCTGCATTGTGCACGTCCAGTGTGCTAGCCATCACACCACGGAAGCATCATCACTGTAATGATAGTGCAGCATACTTCGTCTGTTATACAGCTTGTCAATGGCTATTTTATTTTTCTCCACTGTCCCTTTTGTTAATCCGGTTCGCCTGCAATATTAAGTGGCCTCTTATTTCAAGACACCCCTGCACTTTGCCTTGTTGCCATGGTGATGCTCATCAGGATTCTAGAATCAAGGGCTTGATTTTATTTCATCCAATTTTACATCCACCACTCTCTTATTTGTTTCATTTGATTTTATATTTATTCTGCATGGGTGCGTTGTTTAAAATTATTTTCAGTGTTCTCCAGCCTGCCGTGAGATTGCAGATTGTGTTTTTAATGTCCACTGTTGCGAGCTTTCCATTAATCCCTGAGTACAAATGCCATCTGTGCCTTGTTCCCAGAAAAGTAGTTGGTCTTATGACATAATAAAGCAAGTATGGAGCATGGTAGAATAATTAAAATTACATCCGCAGAATCGTGTTAAACCCCTTGAGAAAGGCTACTCATGGAACCCTTTTCTACGTTTCTTTTTTTCCATGATGGTAAATATTAAAACAATACTACGGTTTGGCACATACTGTGATTATCTTCGTGGGGCCACGCTTAAGATTTGTTTATCTTTCATGGGCACAAAAAACGGTTCATGTTTATGGAAAAAACATAGCTAGCATTTATAAACAAGAGTGCACATTTTTATCATTAAAGCCAAGTCTCTTCCTTTGTAGTATATCAGATGAACAAAGATATCATTCTTATCTGGAATGTGCCACAAATACGCATGCCCCCACACTGTAACAGACACGTCTTGTTCCGCGCAGCGCCAACGATAAAAGAAACGAGTCGATCCTCCGTGGACGTTGCTGTCTCCCCTCTTTGTTTATGTTTATTTGTTTGCTTGTGCCTCGGCAGTGCCTGCGGACGCTGGTGGGGCACACGGGCGGCGTGTGGTCATCGCAGATGCGTGGCAACATCATCGTCAGTGGCTCCACAGACCGGACGCTCAAAGTCTGGAATGCAGACACGGGGCAGTGCGTGCACACGCTGTACGGACACACGTCTACTGTGCGCTGCATGCATCTGCATGGAAACAGGTGCGTCATCGCACACACGCGCACGACACACGAGCACACAATCCCGCACGTAACCTCGCTCGCTGTTGAGGCCAATCCTTCGTCGGCATTGATTTGATGTGCAGCCACTTGGCAATCCATTTTGCTGCACTAGGGTCTTCTCTACGCCATGTCGGTCATTGGGGTTTGTTTGACCATACTTCACCACTCTGGTCAGTGCGGGTTGGTGAAGGGTAGGGATTATTCCGATATCGTTCACCACTGATGTTAGCCATGCCCAGGAAATGAACACAGGTCACCAAGTTTAGGAGGATGACTCCTGCGCCACTGCTCCCCCCCATCTTCTGTATTAGTAAGCGTATATTTCACGCGAAATGTTGATGGTTCCACACCTTACCAAGTACCCGTTTAAGGATAAGTGAAGCTAGCGCAGGGTTCAGATGCCACATGTCACTGATTTAATCTATGACTGTGAAATGAAAACCCACCAAAACCCACACACCTGTCAGCAGTCACTGGAGGGCTTATTCCAGTGGCTACAGCTTGTCAACATTTTACGTGGGAAGGAAGTAGGAGGCACGTGTAAGGGAAATGTCATTTTAATAGCTCCATTTACGCAAGCAAAATAATGAATGTGATGCGTAAGGTTGCGACATGAATCAAAGTGGCTTGCCAAAATTTGACGTCGTGTTCCAAATTGTAACGTTTATTTTTGTAACGTTATTTACATAAGCACGATTGCAGAAATGCCGTCCGCTCGGAGCTCTGATTTACATGGCAACCTTTCAATTCCTCAACATTTATGGCGTTGTGTAAGCATTCCTAATATGCATGCGATGCTGCATTCTCGCATTAATGGCGAAGGGGGCGTGGGAGGAATTTCATGAGGAGGAAAAAATGACCGGGCTGCGGATGCACTCGCATGACATTCGTCATCCATAAATTGATTACCGCTTCCTTAATAGGGAATTGAAAATGTCATGCAAACAGTTGCCCACTGCAGTAATTACCTCTATATTATATGGCTCACATGAACGCAGATAATTGATTAATGTGGTTTGCAGTGCTGTATGCCAAAACAATGTAAATCCACGGTATGTAGCTTCGTCTGATTTTAGAACTCCGTTTTAGTTTTGGACAGCAAAGATGGTAAGAGATATGTGTGTGTGTGTAGTCTACTGTACGAGTCCTTGGGGAAACATTTTTTGCTTCCATGAGTGCGTGATGTTGTTCTGCTTGCTTCATAACACCTTTATATCTTTTCAAATCTCAAACTACAAAATCAAGGGCATAGTTAAGTGTGGGAATGTTCATAGTTTATGTGCTTCATATGTTTCAGCTTTGCGTACAAAACTTGCACGAAAGTATAATGATAACGTGTGCAGATTTATTTGTGTTCTTCATGTTGTGTCTATAAGTCAACCTTACAAGGAAATTTACAAAAGTAAACTGCCTTGTGCTATGTAGCCATCTAAAACATTTGTTCATTTCTAGCCTGTTTTTACACACATTTGTACCAAACACTAAAGCGCCGCCCAATATTCCAATCTGGACAATAGGGTGAGGCTTTTCCACGAGAGTTAATGCTTCTGTTCCTATTTATCGAGGATGTTATTTATCCAAGGAACAGTGTAAATCGTCGGTTTCTAGGCCTCTCGCTCACTGCCCCAGTCATTCATCCTGGTCGAGTACAAAGGTACCAAACAAAAAAAATGCCAACGAACATTCTGAAGAAGGGTCATTGGAGGAGGCATTTGCCAACCATTATTTTAAATCAAGCAAAGCACTGCTAATGATGAAAGGGGATGAGATGTTTTTTGGTCTGTGTGCTTCTACGATACTGGCAATGCAATACCTCAAGCTGTTACATTTATACAATATTTACATGCTATGGTGGTTGATGGGTGGTGTAGAGAACACTGGGCAATAGCTCTTCCTCTCCCAATGTTTGGACGCCGTTGTCCGACTACGACCAAGGCATCTCGTTCATCTGGTAGCTGGAGAAAGCATCAAATCGGCCTGACGACCTCTCGATTTGACGCATCGCCACCCACGCAGTTCATCGACCAAACGGGGAGTTAGGTTTGAAGCCTTGCCCACGACCGGTCACCGCCCGCGCCGCCGAAACCCGACGTCGCGGTCACAAGTGGACGGATTTCCCCCATTGCCCCGTTTTGCCAGGGTCGTGAGCGGCTCCCGCGATGCCACCCTACGCGTGTGGGACATCGAGACGGGCCAGTGCCTGCACGTGCTCGCGGGCCACGTGGCGGCCGTGCGCTGTGTGCAGTACGACGGCCGGCGCGTCGTCAGCGGCGCCTACGACTACACGGTGAAGGTGTGGGACCCCGAGAGCGAGACGTGCCTGCACACGCTGCAGGGTCACACGAACAGAGTCTACTCGCTGCAGGTGAGCCGGTGTCTCGTTTTGCCGCTACGCCACCGATTATATATTTTTTACGGTAAATGGTGCGCTTGCAACCCGGTAATTAAGGGGCTGATTCACGTTGTTGTAAGATGGGCCTTTTGCACCAAACAGAGCGCTGCTGTGCATTTCTGTCCCATTAGGTCTGTCAAGTTGGAGCTCTTTTCTGAAAGGAATTGACCTATCTGCTAACATGTGAATTGTGTAATAGGTTAGAGCTCAGTTGTAATTGACGAGTGGAAAATCAATTAGTCACTCCAAATGGCAGGTGCACTATTATTTTTGTGAAATGTAAACCTTTCTTTTTAAGGTTGTGTTGTGTTGTTCATCATTGGAATTTGGCAACATATAAATTCAAATAAAGTTTCCTAATGAGCCAAATGTGAGCTGCCAGTGAGGTCATGGTGGTCAGGGCTTACTGTGCACCAGTTTCTTTTCATCCGTGATTTTAACTACACAACATTTAATTCGACTCACTGTTTTAGTTCAATGGAAGCAACTAATTGATGAATCATTTCGACCTATAATAATTGCAATCAGAGTTGTCTCTGATTTGGCTACATTCAGGTTGGGTGTAACTGTTGGAGTGTTTTGTGATTTGCCATAACGACAGCAAGTTATCGAGCGCTGTGTCATCACCGCATTGGGTCAGTCACAGCGTTGCTGTGCTCTAGCTGGACTATTGATTTATACGTGTGGACCACTTAGGATTCAGCGGTATTGTCTCAACTGTTTAGCTAAGTGGGTGGAACTGAACCCATTTGACATTAATGGGGTTTCGGTGACAAGTCTATACCTTTTGGACTGTGCAGATGGTGCACGACGGCCCAAAATTGCTCCAAATCACCCGGGAACACACAAGCCACCACCTAGTAATTACGAGCGCTGGCCCACTATCACTCCTGCTGCACACGTGCCGGAGAGAGATTGGTCGTACACACCACTCCGGCATGGGTGTGCGCGCCGCGGTCTCGTCGGTCTGTCTCTTGCGGTGCGCGCCGCAGGTTGGTTATTTTAGACTCGCACGCTTTTGCAGAATTCACAACAATCCTGTAGCAAACCCGACTTTCCTGGACCACCTTTGCTCGTTCAATTAAAGCCACTTCATTTCAATAGCCACCTGTTTTATTACTTGGTCATTCAATGTGACGAAATCACGCGATTGCACACCGTTGTACCCTTATTGGCTTAGTGGCGTAATGGCACAGCTTGGCAGTGTCAGTTTAGGGTGAATTGGCAAATATAGACTCCAATATAGAAAGCGTCTATAAGCCGAGAGTGAGAGCCCGTGGAATGGGAGGCATCTTTTGAGGAGAGGCTTGCAATGAGTTATCGCGAGTAATGCAAACGATTTCTCGTCTGCACATTATATATATGCGTGTGGAATTGAAGCATCGTGCTTGCCCTTCAGCTTTTATTGTCTTTGTCAAAAAATAAATAAAGGACCGGTACGGATGTGATAGAATTGTGCCATAGCTGTTCCCAGCACGTTCCAGCTCCGTGTGCAAGCCTGCGAAGCGTCAGGCTCATTAGTATCTTATTTGCCGGGCTGTAACCGGAACATTAAGATGGATGGCCACCTTGGGTCTTGGCCGGCTTGTGGGTAATTTTAGACAAGAGGAGTCCAAATAGAGATACTTGACAGATGAAGAATTATGCCCTGACCGTTGTCCAATGCTGGCCCAACACTAGATCGTTTTTTTAATCGTGATTGTTTGAATAAATATGTTGCGATGATTCTTAATTCATGACTGTTTGGTTTTTCCGTCGCCTCCCCCCCCCACGACACCCGCCCACCCGTCCCACGTCACGCGCAGTTTGACGGTGTGCACATCGTGAGCGGGTCGCTGGACACGTCGATACGCGTGTGGGACGCCGAGACGGGCACCTGCTTACACACGCTCGTGGGCCACCAGTCGCTCACCAGCGGCATGGAGCTCCGGGACAACATCCTCGTGTCGGGAAACGCAGACTCCACCGTCAAGATTTGGGACATCAAGACCGGCCAGTGCCTACAGACTTTGCAAGGTGGGATTATGGATAACATTTTATGATTGGGTTTTCTTTGTTGCGTCACGTCAAGTTACGTTTTAAGTAGATTTTTGAGATGGTAAAGATGGCTCGGATGTTTCTGATGGAGCCGAGTGGCTTGGAGGACACGGGCCTGGTGCTACTGCTGCTGCTGAGATCCTGAATTGAAATCTGGGTTTCAGACCTGTGATTAAATTACGTTCTCAAGTGAGTTGATTATCTCAACCCAATTACCATTATCTGCACACAAAAAAGCATTAAATTTAGTTTTTTAACCTTTGGCTAATTTGCAGCTCTGAGAATTTTAAAATATAATTTTGATGGTTATGCAATAGATTTTTACTGTGCTTCAGGTCAGGTGAGAGTTATTTTGCCTGTGAAATCTTTTGGAAATCTCCTGACACAGACTGTTCGCTCACAGGGGGTGGTGATGTACTGCTCTGTGAAAAGTCAGGATGGATTCTTTATCCCATGATATGACCCCATATAGATCAAAGAAGAGTTAAGGTTAAACATAGGGTTAAGCAATTCGATTCGCAACATTATTACATTCCACATGTCTCGAGAGAATGCACATTACCGAGTAGTACCTAATATGAGTTTGAACCAAATAATAGCATATTCGAGGAGAGCAGAGAAAAAGCCAGGTAAAGCCACTTTAACAAAAAACAATCTGAGTGATATACATGTGCCTTGTCGTCATTAATCAGTACCTGTAAAAAATGCAATTGACCTATCATGTTGAGGTTCGATTCATGTTGGTGGTGCTCTTCTGGGATGGTTTTTTTAGCATCATGCAGTGTCGAGTGTTCATTTATCCATATGGAAGTCTCTGTTAATGCAATTTCTTTGTTTGGATTTTTTTCCCTTCACCTCCTCCGTCTTCAACTCGCCGTGTTACCGCAGGGCCGAACAAGCACCAGAGTGCGGTGACCTGCCTTCAGTTCAGTCGCAAGCTGGTGGTCACGAGCTCGGACGACGGCACCGTGAAGCTGTGGGACTTGCGCACGGGCGACTTCCTTCGCAACCTCGTTTCGTTGGACAGCGGCGGCAGCGGCGGGGTGGTGTGGCGCGTGCGCTGCTCCAACACCAAGCTGGTGTGTGCCGTGGGCAGCCGCAATGGCACCGAGGAGACCAAGCTGCTTGTCCTGGACTTTGACGTGGACAGCAAGTGAATGACCCTCCCCACCGCGGCCAGTGGGCTCTGCGAAGGTGCGGTGGCATTCGTGACAAGTGCTCGGCCACGCCGAGTGTGTGGCGCGCGTTCGCTGTGCGCCTGTGGTTGTGGGTGGCACTGGGGGTGGGGGAGGGGGGGGTGGTGGTGGTGGGCAGTGAGGCTGAAGGGCACGAAAGTAGTAGACCCCGTGGGTCTCTTTGAAATGGGCTTGTTGCTCACGTGCCAACGTTGGAAGGGATCACGCACACAAAAAAAAGCCTAAATGTATAAAATACAGGACACAAATGGAACACCTGAGTGCCAACAACAAGCAGGAAGATTTGACGACTGAAATCTTCAGCTGAACTTCCACCCCACCCACCAACCATCCTCAAGTTGCCTGTGGTATATTACTGACTTGAAAGTACACTGACTTGGAGAACTCTATTTAAAAAATAAAACAAATTTCAAGCGATTAAAAATCTCACACTTTTAAGGCTCTTTGTCAGGCCCTTGCCGTGCCACCCTGTCTACCCCAGCGCATGTGACTGGAGTGGGGTAAGACCCAAAGCACTTCTTGCATCGGACTGCTCAAGGTTGACACCAAATGGAAGACGGCGCAGCAGTGGTCTGTGGCGTTCACTCTTCCATAGCAGCAGCCAAGGACCTTCCTTTGCGGCAGCGGTTGTGGGAGTTTTGGTAGCCGAAGAAGATCGTTTTCTTTGCTGGCCTTAAAGCGACTGAACCTAATGAGAGCAGGGACCTAGCTAGCTTGGTGCAGTGAAGCGCGAAGGGAGGGACATGGGAACCCACTTTGGCATAAGTCTTTGTGGTGGATCATTAAAATTAGGAATGTGAATGTAAGCAGCAGAATAAGCGTCCCTAACACTTTGTTCTAATGGATTACACTACAGCCTGTGAAAGGTATCTTTTTTTCTTAATCGTTATCAATTTACTTGTTTATTTGTTTTTGTGATACGACTAAAACTGCTCTGTTGGTAACCGTTCGAGCTGGGATGCATAGAAGGGATAAAGTTAAGTCTTTGATTAAAGTTTGCTGCGGTGGCCATCAGCTATGTGGGATGACATCGCGAGGTGTGCGCGTCCCCCCAACCCCCCCCCGTGTGTTCCTTGGGTTCCAGAAGAAAACCTCGGTTGCCATATCACGGCAGCGAGATCGAGTACTATTGAACAATTTCGGCTCGAAACCAACGAAAATAAAGCGCTTATCACTTGGTGGGCAGCTTCCAGTGCTCACAGAGTAACATAGAGCCTCTGGGAGTTGTACCCACGAAAAGGCCCGCCTGCTGATGTCGCACGACGGGGCGGACACCTTTTTGCAGAGGGTACAGAAAGGCGCAGAGCTCACCTTTTGCAGGGGAGAAGGCGCCGAGCGGAAATGATTACCGGACGCCGTGCTGAAACGCAGCAGATTAATTGTCTTAACAAACTATGGAAATAAGTTTGCTTTTGCCAACATTGCAAACTTCAGCTCGGGGGCTCTGCACGCCAAACCGCTACTGTGGTGTCGCCAAAAATGAAGCGTTCTCTTACATTTTTCCGTCATCGTTAGGTTTTTTGTTAAATACTTACAACTCGATGACCCTACGTACATTTCCATTCTGTTTGGGATACACTTTCAATTGTTGTTAAAGGCCAGGTTTGAAAGCGAAGGTGCGTTGTGAATGCGGCATGCGATGTCCCAGCCTGTTTACTCTCTCTACACAGCCTACGCTGTGCCTCGTCATTATGACTGTAACATCAACCCACGTTGGGACTAATGTGAAAGCTGTGCTAACCACTTCAATTATATTCGTTTTCCTGTGTTAGCGTTCTAAAGCTTTTGTTGTTTTGTTTTCTCAGTTAAAAGGGTGCTGTTTGGATTTCATGTTCGTCTCACGTTTGTACATGGGCAGTTAGTACAGGGTTCAGTAGCCTTGCGTGTGCTACACGTTGCGTATACACAGTTCGTGCACTCTTACAGAAATGGCCCGGCTTCTCTGGTCACTCGCTTCACCGTTCGCCGTCATTGTTGCGGGCGACGAGCCTCGCGTGGCCCTCGGCCGTCACGCACCGGCCCCCAGCACCCGTGCTGGGCATGCCCACACGTATGACTTGTCTTTTTATGGCCGCACGCATGTAAGTGGGCCCCCCCCCCCCTGGGACGTAAAAGTAGATGCTGCACTGAAAACCGCACCGCACCTCTTCTTTGTCTTGTGTTTGTTGTTGCACACACTCTCCTGCACAAACACACACACACACACATTCATAACCCCAAGCCCTTAGTGTAGAAAAACTATTTTTCTGCAAACACACTGAAATTAAATACATACTGGAATGCTGTAAGGAAAGGCACAGCACGGGATATATTGTTTTAATCAAGCTGAAGTGTGTACTGCGGGGCTGATAGCGCCAGAGTAATTGAGCCAATTTAAACTGAAAAATTATCAATTTTAAGGCGACGTGACAAATGCATTGATGTTTAAATATGAACGGGCGCCACATTCTTTGAAATTGGCAGGTCACTGCCCAAAAACCGATAGCCGGTGTACACAATCGAGTGCAGCTGTGCGTTTCCCCAGCAAGTCAGTGGGCGGACCAGGGTGCATTTAGAGTGAACTCTAATTGTGGCCGGTGATTAATGAGCTCCGATGAGACGCATTACGGAATCCAGAGCTTCAACCGAGCAGCTCTAAGTGCTCTCCGTGACAAGCTTTAGGTGAACTGAGGCCTTCTGAATGTGCTGTTTTAAAACCATGTTTAGCGTTGTGTGTGCGTGCGTGCGTTGGTCCGGTTACTGTTATTGTTTTTTGCCGAAGCAGGATTTTCCTTCCATTTTTGATTGTGGGATTCTGTGAGGGTTTTTGGGGGATTGGCTTTTGTCATTCGTGGCCCGTCCATGTGTAAATAATTCCACGTAGAAACTGTGAACTTGAATTGGCCTCTAAGCAGGGGGGGCAGCTGTACAGTGATGCCATCTGCTCTGTATAGCCTGTTCATGGCGATGTGTACATAGGGCGGTTCTGATCCGCACTTAGTGGCAAAAAAAAGATGTAGTTCAAAAGATCAGGGAGTTTTTTTTGTGTTTTATTTTTTTCACTAACCGTCAGTATTGAATTCAGTCTTTTTTTGTATCACCATGTTCCTTCACGTGCGTGTTTGTTGCTGCTGCTTATGAATGTCACGTTGTAAAGAAAGAGAAAAAGGAAAAAAAAAACCTTAATTTCATTGGTCAATGTGCATCTTAAATGAGAGTTGAGGGGACGGCAGAGATGTGGTGCCGGATGAGACGACCAGTCTGTGAGTCGGGAGAGATTTTCCACCGGGCCCCCCTCTATTCTCGACCAGAGCCGTCGCTTGTCGTGCACCCGTCCCTCCGTGTGGCAGTCTTTGTTGAGCCAGCAGACGGAGACGCTGGTCCCTTGCTGGTGTCTGCCGAGGGTCGTGAGAGTGAGGGGTGGCTGGCCTTTTCGTCCAACCCTGGCAGTGTGCACGCGAGGTCGGGGTGAGGTCAGGAGGCGTTTGCCGTCACTTGGCTGGGTATGTGCCATCTGAACAAAATGTGTAACGTAGGCAAGACGAATCACATTAAGTGGAAGCAAAAAAAAGTATAAAAAATACAAAAAAGGAAAAACAAATAAAAATTAATTACAAATATGTAACATATGAAAAAGGGATTGAGTTACTGGTTTGTTTTACTTAGAAATTTTTATTTTCATATGAAAGTGCAATAAAGTGTACCTCAATGGAAGGACTTCCCTGCGCGTGTGTGTGTGAGTGTTTACACGCGCGCGTCTCATCCTCGTCGTTTGTGTCGCTGTCGACAGCATTCCCATTCGGTGAACACGGAGACGTCCTCGGCTGATGCTTGACTGCCACCTCCTGCAGCGCGCATTTCACCTAAACAGCGTTCATTATCACGTCGCACTGTCTGGCGTTTGTGCAATTGTCAAAGCGACACATCCGTAGCAGTCGTAGCTGTTCTCTAAAGAGCCTCAAGTTTTTCACAAATTGCGCCCACACATCCAAGGCAAATGGGATCTTGCGGCTCCCTTTATAAAGGTGCACAAGTTGCCCCATGAGACTGATCAATGTTAAGCACCTCTATGTTAGCGCCTATGTTACAATATTTAGAAAATTTCAACTTTGCGGACAGATTTGTTTTTTAAGGAAATAAGCTTTAATACAACCCAGGTATACACCGATTAGAAGGTCACTGAATTGTTACATGGGCAGACCACTGACCGTGTTACTATGGCTTGTGTAGCAATGAGGTTACATTTAACAATTTCAATTGCCACTTAAAGAAGCGTTTACATTTCGTGTACGGTGCATCGCGCACATTTACGATTGTAATGTAGATGTATCGAGAGGGAAAAAAAAAACAGTTTGTCAAGGACTTAACAGACCCGTCTTAAGCTTTCACAGAGAACGTAAAATGGAAGGGAGCAAAAAAAGAATCCTGCAATCCATTGCGTGGCGTAGTAAAATGCCCGCGAGGATTGCACAAATTCAGACATCCGTGAAATAGGTATAGAGCGTTCTCCACATCGGCTGCATTCCACGTCTGCTACTGTGGGCAGGGAGGGGGGGGGGGACTGAGAGCATGGCCCCAGTTACAGCGTGAACACATCCCTTCCCCTTGCTCCGCGTCCCACTCCCAATGTAAAGGATCGTCTCCCCGTCCTTGCGCATTGCCTTGTGTGTGTGTGTATTGTACCAACAGTCGAGCTTTTCAGTCTCGTTAGTGTCTACAAGCCGTGTCAGTTTGTTAATGATAAAAAAGGGAGTTGAGAAAATACAAGTCAAGTCCCATCAGTACTCGTTTGTCGGCCCGGGGAGGCACGCGGACCCAACGGAGCGGGGTTGTTTTTTTTATATCACGGAGCTGCGCTACCACGGTTGAAGGCAGAAGCAATCCTCCCCCCCCCCGCCCGTCAACCCGAGACGTGATTTCCCCAACGTCCGGATATATCTGCGAGAGCGATATTGCATCACGCCATGCAGCGAGTTTGATTTATACGATCATCTCGTGCATCTCTCTAATTCATGAGGGGCAGGGGTTTCTCTATCTACATTTTCTGGAGGTGGGTGGAGGGGTGCTTTGTGTGTGTGTGTGTATATATGATGCTTCCCGCACGCATTTCCAGCCCGCTCTTCTTCTCATCCGTCCATCAGCAAAGGGGCTTCCTCCGAGATTCTGTCCGCCGCTTGGCGCACGCGTGATTTGTTGATGATCTGGCCCTGCGAGAGGAGGTACGGCGACGCGGGCGTCAGGAACTCGTTGTGGGCGAGTCTGTGATTTCGAGCGAGGAGCGGTGCTCGGCTCGGAGACTGTTACGGAAATTCAACGTTGCTGCAGCGGTTGACGGCATTTTCGTCAAAATGTACGCGTGTTGATCTCGTTTCGCACCATACGTAGCCAACCTGTGCTAATCGGAGGTGCGAGGGAGGGACAAACTCAAGGCAAAAAGTAGTTATATAAAAAAAGTTTTCAATTTAAAAGTGCATAGCTCCAGTGGCTTCCGAAAATCAGAAGAGCGTTCCAGACGGCCACAGAAGCGCGCCATGCCGTGGCCGTCTTTGTTCGACGGCGAGCCAAAAGCCGCGACGGCGAGCCAAAAGCCGCCGCTGCGAGCCATTCGGGTTTTCTGCTCTTTGATGAGATCAGCAAGGTATTGTACAGTTAAGTTGTGGCAAACGCTTTGTGTGTAACGAGGGGCGACCTTCTCAACGTTTTCGTTCGGCCTTCCCTCGAACTTCTTAAAGAGTGCAGTCAAAAAATACGTTGGCCATTGGGAGCACAAATCAAATTTAGGCGGTGAGGTCCTGAACCTACACTACAGCCTGGCACCCCTTATGTTTGTCAATCGTTATTTTTTAAATATATATGTTAATAATACATAGGGTTTGATGAAACAAAGTAAGTTGTACTTATGTGCCCGCGCTTAAAGTGTTTTCGATTATTTACCTTCTAAAAAAGAAATCTGGCCGCGTCTCGCACCCCCAGGGGATGCGAGATGCACCCCAGGTGAAGAACCACCACTGAAGCCGTTTATACATCGTGGTGAGCGAGAGCTCAAGTATCGAGTGTGACGCACACAGAGTGTAGCGTCACTCACTCTGCGTTGTGTTTCACATTAGGTGTAAAGTTTGTTTAGACTGCTGTGTGCCCCCTCAGTGTTTGGAATGAGCCCCCCCCCCCCCCATTTAAACAAAGGTCACATTACAGGGATGCCAGGTGGCTCTCATTTATGGAGCCCGTGGGGTTGCCAAATTATTCCCTTCGCCCTTGTAGTTAGCAAAGCCTTAATGAGCCTCGAGGTTTCATCAGGAGGTCACCCAATTTGATTCCATTCACGAGCGTTTTTCCAGGACTGAACCGTGGGCCGCCCCCAGCTAATGAGTGAATATTGATAAATATCCCGTGCACGTACAGGTCGCGCACACACCTGCATGCTCCCTGTGTAGTGCCGGATTAAGCTAGCGCGGGGTCTGTAGCATATGATGTTATAACGGGGCCCTAAATAAATAAATAAACACGTAAATATTTAACAGCCAGATAATACGACAAATCGCTAACATTAAAATACCCAGTCGTTCATAAAAGTTGAAGGCAGTATAGTACTATAGTAATAGAGCAAGTGCAGAATCACTGAACTGGAATTGATAGCTTGAAAGCATTTAGTGTGGGGCCCTTGAAAGTGCGGGGCCCGTAGCATATGCCACTAGGATAATCCGGCACTGACCCTGTGAATTCATAAAGATCCTCCGTATAGCCTTCACAGACTGCCGGGGCAAGTGCCGTAAGCGAGGAGCACCTATGAAGGCCGGGCTGGCACGGCGCACGAGGGGGTGGGTGGCCAACGCCATGCCTGGCCGCCTTTGTCTCCACAGTGGCGATGTATACACACAGCTCCAGGCACTCGTTTTAACGCCGAGACGACCACAGGGAAACCCGGGACCAGTTCAAATCATCGTCACCGCTGTTAGCGGCGAGCGGGAATCGAACCCGGGTCGCCGGGCTCGTAGCGCAGCGCGCTAACCGCTGCGCCACCGCTCCCCGCGTGTGAACCCACAGTGGCACCAGCACACGCACACCACCTCGCGTCACTTGAGTTCGACTGCCCCGCGTGTGTGCACGCGCCCCTCTATCGGTACGAATCGCGTGTTCGTTACGGCACGAGAGCGGTGATAGGGGCCCGCATTACGCACAATGACAGCGTTGCACAGCGGCCTCGCGAGCTATCGGCTCCACGGATCTCTCGTCACCCTCGCGTGCCGTGTCTCTGCAGATTATTCGTTGCGTTATCGTCGCGCTCGGGGGAAACTTTGACGGTACCAATCGCCGTTCACGTCTCATCGCACGCTTCATCGCCGATCATGAAACCGTGTCTGAACAGTCCCTGGCACGCAAGTGCCTTAATAGGCCACGAGCAGCGACGATGCGCAGTTTGTACAGCTCTTCGGCTTGTCAAACTCCGCAGCAGTGCGGAGTTTGACAACCCGTCTCTCACACGGCGGTCAGCGGCGGCAATGTCCCCCACGCTCTTGAACACCGTCAAACGCCGGGGCGTGCCATCTGACATCTCCCGAGCCGACCCTCAGCGCTCCCATCTCCACGGCGGAGGTCGCGCCGTTCCCCGTGCCGTTCCCCGTGCCGTTCCCCGTGCCGTTCCCCGTGCCGTTCCCCGTGCCGTTCCCCGTGCCGTTCCCCGTGCGGCTCCCCGTGCGGCTCCCCGTGCGGTTCCCCGTGAGGTTCCCGTGAGGTTCCCCGTGAGGTCGCGCCGGGGTCGTACCGTGCCCTGGTCCACGACGTTGAGCACCAGGGAGGAGGCGAGGCAGCCAAGAGTGAGCGCGAGGAAGAAGAGCATCACGTTCTGCCACCGCCACGGAGCGATCTCCCTGCGTCGGGGGGGGCAGCAGCAGGAGGAGGGGGAGACGCGACATTAAACCACTGGCACATAGCGATTCACCGTTACGACCACATAAACACCACCGCGTTTGGTACCAGCCCAACCGCACACACCGCCTGTCATGTCGGCCACCGGAACGTCGGAGGCGGGATCTAGAAACTTTCTAAAGTGAGGGGCTGGTCACAGATGTAAATACAGCCATACATTAGTTATTTTGAAAATAATTTCCTAAGTATCTTGGTGAATATTCATAAAATACTGCACACTTTTTTGTGATTTTAAGGTCGGGTGGGGGGGAAAGGCGATCGCTCTTCCCTTGGATCCCCCACAATCACCACCATCACCACTGCCATAATCACCACTCTTACTGTCATTAATACCACCACAACCAACACACATATCACCACTACATCCAACAACCACCACAACTACCACCGCATCCAACCACCACAACCAACACACACATAATACCACCACTACATCCAACGATCACCACAACTACCATGAACACCGCCACACATCCACCTCCGCTTCCAAAAACGCCACCGCCAAATCCGCTGGCACGTCGCGAAAATCCACCCCATCCACGATCACCGCCACGCACGGTGCAGTGGCCCAAGAGGCCTCATCTGGTGAAGTGATACCGACTGAATGACCGACTGAGCATTTCCCCTCATCAGCAAAACATGCGGCTCTACAAGGTCCTGCGGCTTAAGAAGATCCTCAGGAGATTAATTACTAAAAGGCAATCTATTGATTACAACCCCGCCGAGTGTATCGTTATGCAAATGTGCTATCGGATAAGCGTCATCACCCGAGTTCGGGGGAGTGGCGGTGCAGTGCTCGGCGCGCCACGCAACAAAACCTGACGGCCGGGGTTCGAGTCACGGTCACGGCCAGGATCAATAGCGGCCCCGTCGCCCTCCCTTCATCATCACACGGACCCTCGTGGTGAAGTATGGTCAAACGATCCCCACAGTGGATTTACGAAGTCTGCAGATTATTGTTTTGTAAAATCGAGCGCGGACGGTGACGTGGCCAGGCAGATGCGCGTTCGTCGCTTGCTGCAGAGCTTCATGGTTCGAGTCCAGAGGCCACCCTGGTTAATACTGCGGGGGGTGTTAACGGTGCCGTTGCACCCAGTCTGCTTCACAGTGAACGTTAAAGATCCCGTGGCATCGTTCGCAAGAGTAAGCCAACCGTGTGCCTCCGTCATGGTTCAAAGTGGCCGAATTTGAAATATGACCTGCAAATCACCGAATTGGAATACGCACGGCAATCGTTACCCGCTGATGAGACAACCCTCCTGACAAAGCGCGATGAGGCTCGGTGAGTCTTCCTGGGTTAAATCTGTCCCAACCCTCACTACTTCAGGTTCAGCCACGCAGCGGAGTCCCCTGGTCCGACGCCTAACCTTAGCGCAAACCCAGTTCCATTCTGTGACACGAAAACGAATCGGGGGGGGCTGCCAGAATTGCGTTGGCTAAACGGTGGGGGGCCAAACTTCCTCCGCACAAAACCAGCCCCCCTCCCTCCCCCACCACCAAAAACCATGCCTTATTATTCCAGAGTGGTGCCGACACACAAAATAGATCAACAAACAAACGAGTGTGCTCAATGACATTTCACAACCGGGTGGGGGAAAAAAAAAACCCCGACCTCCCAATTGTTCTCAACGTCGCCAACATTTGGGCCATCCCTGGATATAAAAGTGGCGGCAACGTTGGCGCCGCGCGGGTTTAGCGCGGGGCCCGCGACTGCAGTAGCAGCAGCAGCAGCAGCACCGGGGCCCCTGCGCGCAGAATAAGAATGGGGAGAGTGACGTGCGGCACTGGCACAGCCAGTGGGGTGGCACGTGCCCCCCTCCCAATGATCCGATCGAAATGAAGGATTTCGATCGGATCATTGGGGTTTATTAGTAATTAATCGTTTTTTTTCGACCCCCACTGCCACTGTGTAGCATATTATTATGTGCCAGGTACTCTGTGAGATGATAGGACAATAGTCTGAGTCCATAATTGGCAATAAGTAACGGCAAAGCGGTTATAAGTGACTCAGAATTGTCCGCAGTTGCGTATACAGCACACAACTTCCCTGAAGGCATCAACACCTTCAGCGAGCACGATGCCGATCACACAACGCGGTTCGAATTCGACCCTCGATCGATTGCTGCGCCATCGCCACACATGTGTCGAATAAAAAGCAAGGGACAAGTCCTTACTTACAACTCCTCTATCACTTTTCATTGCTGGAGGGGGGTTGCCCCCCTCTACCTGAAAAACCTGGCTCCGCCATTGGGTCACGTGTCGCGTCCCGTTCGTCTGTTGTGTGCTCGCATACCGAGTGAGATATGCGAAAAAAATATTGGTTGTAAAAGTAGTCATTAAAAAACATTTAAAAGCTGACATTGCTTAATTAAAATTCCTGGGAGCTGACGTCCGGGGGTGTGTTCAATTAGCTCGAGAGCGCTGTGGAGAAACGCCAACAAGCTCAAAGGTTTTTACGAAAACCAAATAGCAATGGAAGGCGAAAGGGGAAATTATTTTCACGAACATATGAATCTGCGAGCAAGCCTCGCTAAATATTAATGGGTTGTTTGTACTTGTTGGTGGAAACCGCAGCGCACGATGCGATTGGGACATTAGCATGCGTACATACATATTGTATTTTTTTATTTGGTTTGCGAAAGATAAAAAAAAACCTGTGAATTATGTTTCGTGAATGACAATTTTTTCTCCAGAATCTGCAAGTGATCCCACTTCGCTGTGGTTGAGTGTGAATTGTGCCCGCTCTGCAAAAGTATCACAATGATCGCTGGTCATTAAAAATGCATGGGCTTCAATGAGTTACATCAAAATGCAGCAGCTCCAGGCATTAAGAACTGAAAGCCTCTCGGTTTTTTTTTGTTATGCCAGATTCCGTTTGCCGTTTGAAAGTATTAGGGGGCTATGGATGACTGAGGACAATAAATTTTTACTTGAAAATAAGCCACCGTTTATGCGCGCGGATTAACAGATTAATGTGTGTGTTACCTTATTAATGTTTTAATGAGATGTTGCTCGAGACTCGCTCGACACCTCTCACATGAAATACCGCTGATTAAATATTTTGCGGCCGTAAATATCTTTTACGTTAAAACCTTAAAATCGAAGTATGCACTAGAAGCGTATTAGCTGATGTTGACAGACCAACAGCATATTGCCATAGCCTTAGTCCACATTTTCCCCCCTCCCAACACATTTTCAGTCCACTAAAAGACCAATAGCTTATCAATGATTTACTGCAATGCCATGCAATACAGTACTGTATCTCAGCCTTTGAATAACAGCGATTGTCGAGCCAACACCACACACGATTTCGATTTCTGCTCTTGGTCGTGGAATCAGTTCTGGCAGCGCGTTCGCCGCTTGTTGCAGAGATTCGCGGTTCGAATCCAGCGGCCGCCCCGATTAATACTGCGTTGCGTGTAATAACCGTGATAACAACACGCACCGTCTGCTTAAGAGTGGACGTTAAAGATCCCACGATGTAATTCGCAAGAGTAGACCACTGTTGTGGCGGCATGAGGGTCCGTAATTGCCAATTTCGAAAAATTACCCGCAAGTGATTCTATTTGTATTATACAAAGTGACCTTGCTGGCAACAGGCTACTGCCCCGACTCACTCTTGCAAATGAGACTCTTCTTTGGCCCCTAGAATTCTCACCTGGTTAAACAAAATTCATTTGAAACTTTGCCTAGGAGAGAACAGGATAGAAAGCATGCTGGATAGATAACAGATAACGCATAAGTTAGGAAAATCAATCGGCCAATAGCCTAAAAACAAGGCTGAAAGCACGAATGCATTCGTTCTGTGATCCGCCTGTCTGTCCGTAACAGCCCCCCCCCTCCTCCACCCACTGCGACTCTCGTAACGATGACTCAATATGAACGAAGCTGCAGTACAACGTTTTGGAGAATCGGCCAAATTGATGTCGGCTTGCCTGAAACTCGGGAGACAAACCCCCCCCCCCCCCCCCCCCCACAACGTGCTAATAAATAAATCACAAAACCAGCGGCAAAAAGAAGCACACATTCTCTCTGCCTCCTCCCGATGTGGTCATCTCGCGCGTCCCCTCTCATTGTGCAGCTTGACACGTGGCATTATCATTGTCGTCGTCGTCGTCGTCGTTGTTGTTGCCCCGTGAAATATTTTCGAGGCCAAATACGCATGCTGGAGAGTGCGAGGGAACGCACGCATCCACCGTGATCGTTCTCCCAACTCGTTTATAGGCGCTACAGAACCACGTCCGCTGCGGCGACGGAGCGGATGGGAATCAGCTCTGCGGGAGCAAGATGGAATTGTGCATCGCAAGACCCTGAGCGATAGCAATGGCTTCGGGGGGGGGGGGGGGGGGGGGGGGGGGCTTCATCTGGTAGTGGATAGATCATGGTAGATGATGATTCTGATGGACCTACGTAGAAAATATATATTTTTAGGTTTTTTTTAGACACGAGAAGGCGCTGTCAGGTGCCGTTGAGCCTCGAGTGCCCTCTAACCTCGGGCCAAGCCTCGGCGATCGTGGCCAGGGCTGCGCACGGATTGGCATCCCCCTCCCCCGCGCCTGAAATAAACACTTAAATAAGTAAACGCGTGTGGACTCGTCAATAAATAAACAAAACTCTCGCCCGAGCAAGAGGAGTTGTTTTTAATGATAGCAAACATTTAAGAAGAAGTAAAAAAAAACGCCTAGCAGCCAGTAAATTAAACATGAAGAGAAAATTATCCCACACACAGTAAATTATCCACACACACGTGGTGAATTATACACCGCGCTGCGAGTTTCACGGGCATGTGCTCCCCCCCCCCCTCGCGGTCTGGCTGCCACTCGCATGCTAACAAAGCGGATTCCGCCCCTCTGCGGCGCGTTTTCCGGGATGTAGCTGAGTGTCGTTCGGCACGATATCCGACGTACTTGGCCATACTTGACCATACTTCACCAGTCTGGGTGCTACGGCACAACAATGGTCGTTTCTTCTTCGTCCATGCCACCAGGTGCTTCCGCGGCCGTCTGGAGCGCTCTGCCGGCCAATATTAGAAAGCCATCGGAGCCATGCGCTTTCAAATCTCGATTGAAAACTAATTTCTTTAGAACTACTTTTTGTGTATTGTTTGTCATCCTTCCCCCCGCGCCTCCGTTTAGCACGGCGCGAAAGAAGTTCAACGTACTCTCCTTAGCACCCCGACGTTTTGGCGATTTTTCTCATGGCCCGCGGCCGTCTGCGGAGAAGACTTTGGCACAGACTCCGCTGCCGTGCCCCCGCGCGCGCTACCCACCTCGAAGCGTGGCCAAATAGACAAACGCCCTCCGTCTACCGCAAGGGCGCGCGTCACTCGTGCGAGGAGGCGCGATCCGGGCACAAGACCCGGCTCAGCTCCCGCGAAGTGGCGAGACCGGGGCGTGCAGTCGGCCGCGTCTCCCTCGTCCCATTTCTCTCCCATCGCGCGTTTCTCCCGGGTCCCACGGTGAGACCACCCTCCCCACCCTCCCCCCCCCCCCCCGGCCCTCAAGGACAGAGGCAGGCGCGGCCAACCAGATGTTTGGTTGGAGTTTTCTGATGGGGGGGGGGGGTGGGGGGAGCCTCCAAAAATAACTCCGATAGAGGCAAATGCAAATGTGCATTGAGCGCGGAACTTTGGGGGTTGGGGAGGGGGGGAAGAGGGGGAGGGGGGGGGGTCACGTTTGTTCGTCCATCTGGAAATCGCACGTCTCTAGAGAACCCCCTCCCCCCTCCCGAGCCATGCATCCTCTTGACAGCGCCACTGTGAGGAGGGTCAATGTGCATCGATTGGGAAGCGATCGCCCGCAGGCACGCGGAATCCTTCGCGGGCGAGCGCGGAGCCCACCACAGCAATCCTACCCACGAGTTCCGGTGCAGTTGCACCGCCTGCGCGCTCGATCGGTACGCCGCCGTACCCGGTCTCCTCGCCGAGCAGGGCCCCGACCGCGAGGTTGGAGACCCCGACCCCGAGCATCTGCAGCGACGTGGCGACTCCGTTGGCCGTGCCGAGGGTGGAGTACGGCACCACCATGGATATGGCCGGCCACATGCAGGCCTGCCGGGCGGCCCCGCGGGCCCACGCCACAGCAGCCGAAGGGACGGACAGGCGAATGAGAGATTAAAGCATCACGTGCCCACACGAAGACGTTGCTTTGCTTTAACGAAACAAATAAACACATTTGTTGAGGAGTGCCTCATGTAGATTTTTGTTTGCACTGCAAAGGACGTTCGATTGGTGAAGTGGCCGGTTGGCTCGGAGGGCAAAGCTCCGAGCTGGCAGCGCCGAGATCGTGCGTTCAGAGCCAGGTGGCCGCCCTCCGATTACGAAGCGGTTCCCTCGAGCCCTGCGAGTCGATGGCCTCAGCTCGGTGACAGCAAAGCGAAACAAAAAAAAAACAATCCATCAAATCCCAGCTCAGAGGGTTAAAATATGAGATCGACAGTTCCGCGACGAATTTTACTCTCGCAGCGTGCGCGGGAGAGTACTTTTCCTGCTCCCGTTTGGAGCAGAGGTCACTGTGGAGGGATCTCAGCGGTAGCTCTGCGATATCCGGTTCTGTGGGCCGTGCTCTAACATTCCAAAATTGCACCGCTGTGCGAGAGATACAAATGGGTACTTAACCGCGTGACGTGACGCCCACCGCGCGATCGGGACACACGGGGGGACGAGGCGGGCGAGGAGGCGGTTCGGGTAAGAACACGTGTCGCATTATTGTCGGCGATTCATTTTTGTTTTGTTGTCGAGTCGTGCTGCTCAAGCTTTCTACTTGTGCGGCTGTAATCTCGCTGAACTCCAACTGGAGATTACTTTTCCTGCAACGCCTCCGCCGCCGCAACGGCAGCGGCAGCTGATTGATGTTAACCTTCACTTTGGTTAACTGCGAAGCGCATTACGTAATTGCATATCTTCTGTTTAACCATTGCCTCGGATCTCTGGGATGGACGTGTTGCGTCAATGTGTTTTTTTCTGAACCGTGCCCAAGCGCTTCAGTGATGCGACACGAATAGACTTCAGTGCCGGGATTTATGCACGACGCCCAGCTGACATTTTTAAACTGCCCCGAGCCGTAAACATCGACCGTTGACCCACCGCCCTTTCTTTTTTAACGTCCCTACGGGAGAGAGACTTCCACAGCTCTAACCTCCTAACCCTAACCTCTGACCCCCCCCGCCCCCCACTCACATTTTACCATGACCTATCGTTATCATCCCACCTTGGAGGTAGCGGGCAGAACTTCCGTTTTCTCCGCATTACAAAAGAGGCGCTTCTATTCCTCAACAGTATTGAAAAGCAAACGATCGAGGTTGCCGTCATCCCATAGTCCGGGAGGTGCACGTGTCTTTGTGACCGGATTTGTAGAACTTTGACACCAGGCACGTGTTTGGGGTTCGTCGTACCCCCCATAGTGTCTTACGACCCCGAGAACGCGGCTAACGTCAACGCATAATGACGCAACCGACAAAAAAACATTACCGCGACATTTATGAACGTGCCTCGAAGACTCACAGATTTCCCCAGAACAGCTGCCTCAACAAGGGTACGGGGATCCTGGGAAAACCAGGACGAGGTGGCGACTCCTACCGTGACCCGCGGTGACCTCTGCTTGGAGCGCTGCCCCCCTCCGAGGGGGCCCGGGCACTCACCGTGCTCACGGAGTAGGCGACTCCGAGCCAGAGCGTGGAGGCGAGCGGGGGCAGGCGGCCAAACGCCAACACGGGGAAGACGGGAAGCGTGGAGATCGCTGCCGCGCTGATCATGACCCCACGCAGACCCACGCGGTCCTCCAGTGGGCAGAGACGCACGCGTGGGTGGGGGTGGGTGGGAAAAGGAATTTAGGACGGCTAAATTGCTCACTCTCTACGTAAACGCTAAAGTACAGGAACATTAAATAATTGCAGCCCCCAACAACCCCTGTGGGTTCCGTCCGGACTAAACGGGTCATTACCCGCTAAAGTAAAACAAATAAAGAAAAACTCTCAAAAGTATTCCCGTCAATGCGTGGAACTTATTTAATCTGGCGTTTTTCACCGTCCGCTGATTAAACAAAAAAAATCCTCGACCCCGCGGCCTCGGTCGAGTTCGTGGGCTGACGTGTGGGTCGGTGGCGATTAGGGAGGATGGGACCTTGAAATAAAAATTATCGATTTTTAGAACATCCGAGATATGTTGATGGCAAACATCGATGTTACCAATGGATTGCTGTGGTTTTATTTGTTTGTGTTGCGCCATTCCTTGTGGCGACTGACCCAGGTTTTAGCGCCCTCGTCTGCCACTGCAGTCCAGCACTTTGAACGTAACAGTTGGTACATTCCTCAGGTTCATAAACTGCATCAGAACATAGATTTTTTTTGTTAAACTTGTTTTTTTACTTTTAAAGTCAAGCCGTGCCAGCGCGTCAGCCTCCGTACGAAGAAGCTGGGTTTTTTTTTTGCAAAAAAAAACGTGACGCACGATTACAGTGATAACATTGAATAATAATGCCATTTCTTTTACCCAGGAAGCCCTCACCGAGTCCCCGTACTCCTTTGTCAGGCGGGCCCTGCTGGATGAGCAATGTTTGGCCAACTCCATCGTTGAGTGTTTGGCGTGCGGCAGGAAACCGAAGAACTTTGAGCAAGCACACGAGGCACGCGTGAAGGTCACGCGCAGAGCGCCACACAGATGCCATCTTCTGGGCCACGGGGCTACACAGCACCTCGTTACGTCCATCTAGTCTCTCTCTCTCTCGTGCAAGTACTGAGCATGGTAACCAGGCTAAAATGCCTGCTCCAGCTTCGAAGGTTCCAGACAATCGAGTGCAGTCATTCGGTTGAAGACGAGATACAAGTGTCAAAAGCTCAGAGTTATCTGTTCATTATGCGAACACCGTCAGCAGTTCCTGAACAAGTGCACCGTGCCCCTCTTGCCAGTAAATGCTGATGGGGTTTTTTTTTCGCATAACAGACAAATGATTCCGTGATTGTTTTTTGTTTTAATTTCATGTCTCCTCTGAAACACGGGCGTGGCGTTGGCCGCCCATCCCCTCGAGTGCAGTTCTGGCCTTCATTAGGTGCTCGCTCACAGCACCTGCCCCAGCAGTCTGTTAAGGCTACACGGGGGATCTTTGTCTTTGTGTACGTGCGTGTGAGAGCGTCGGCAGCACCAACCGTACCACGAGCACGCCAGACGCGGCGCACAGCACCATCGAGACCATGTACGTCGCGCCGACCACCAGGGACGCCTGCTCCTGGGAGAAGCCCTCGTACATGTCCTGGATGAACTTGCTGCGGGAGTGGGTGGGTGGGTGGGGCGGAATAAAACAGAATCCGTGCCATTAGCGGGGCGATCAACAGGCGATCCAACTCGGGGAGACCCTCTACTGGGCTCGCGGCAGCGCGCGAGTCTTTCGGCGGAATTGGAAGGGGGCGTGGGGAAGGTTTTCGCAATTTCGAGCCGTTCGTGCGGAACTGCCACCGTTGTCACCCGTTTGAAATGCATGGGATTATTACGCAGCGAATATCATGCAAAGCGAGCACGCTGCCGCCGAGGACTGTAACCGCGTTGGTTTATCCACTTGAAGCGAAAGTCTGAGCATTATACGTGGCAATGTAGCGTTTTTTGCTTGCGAATCTAAGGCCAGGATGCCGGGCAGTGTCACTGCTGGGCATTGACGTCGAGTGGCTACTGTGCAGCAGTAGCAGCTGTAGCGGGATTAGGTAGCGGAGGAGCGGGGAGGCGTCGACAGCCTTGGCGACGATGGCATCTTCAGGATCTCTTGATGGCTTGATCATCTCGATTGTCGCCCGCAACACAAAAAGCCACGGCAGCCGATCGTTATGTGGGGAACCCGGCGGCCGCTTGATGAGAAAGAGGAAAAACAGAATAAGAAGAGAAAGAAAAGGTATTCGTACATTTTTCAGATTTCATTCGCAAATCTTTCAAATGTAGGATTCGGCTTATTACGGCGGCACACACAGCGGCCGGCTGTCGGAGGCGATGCCGCGGGTTCTTGACAAAAGGTCATTCCTCAAGGTCACCCCCGAGACGAAGCCGATTTTCCGATCCATCCTAACGAGCGCCGGGCGTCAAAAGATGGTTTCACCCCCCGTGCACTTTCGCCTTGCCTAATAACGTGGCCGCCGGGAGCCTCCTTCTCCTGAAGCATGGTGTCATAGACGGACCCAGACGGGTCTCGCTTCCCGAGTTATTGCGCACGGCGGTGTCCGCGGAGATGCGTTTATTGACCTCTTCGTTTGATGCATGGCCCTGGCATTCAAATTGACGCGTCTCCCGTAAGAAATATCGTCCAACTATTGTTCGCCCCCCCGTCTAAACACCTTGCCGTGCCTATGCTAATGTTTTAATTAATAATGACCCGTGCGCGTTTCACCTCGCCCGTTCCGCTGCACCTTCGCCAGCGCGGTGAGCGTGGAGATCGGTGTTTCCGCGGGTCTTGTTATTTACGTCCCCAGAGTCGGCACTAAATTTTGGAAATTGTTATTTCGACCACGAGGGCCCTGCCCCTCGGCACAACGGAACTACGACGCCTCGTTTACGGTCCACCTAGTCGGGTTTAAAGTGCGCAGCCGGGCTCTTCGCTTGCTCAGAATGAAGCAAAGTTCCATTGAACCGTGCCTCGTCGTACCCGGGGCGGAATTTCTCACGGAAAAAAATCACTCCCCCCCTCGCCAACCTCAACAACCTCCAACTCCCCAGACCCCGCCCTTCTTTCACCCCACCCCCGACAGCAGGGGAGAGAGAGAGCAGGGATAATATTTTCTGGAGCTCAGCCTAGGACAGCTCCAGCTAAAATTAAGTCCCGATTACATCCTCATTAGATGCAGGACCTGTCCGTCTGATTTGGCCGTGGCTGCTGCTGCTGCTGCTGGAGCTGCTCACGGTCTCCCGTGACGAGTAATTTTTTTTTTCAACGCTTGTCCAACGGAGGCACGCTGCAGCATCGTATCCCTCGCGCCATGCTCATGAATATCAGGAGCCGTGGTTTTATAAATGATGTTGACAGAACCCGTTGCTCGGCGTGCTCAGATATGGAGCGCCGCAATCCAGAATGCACATCACGTGTTTGCGAAGCCCGCATCACTGGCCATTCCACTCCGGCGCCGACACACCTGTGCCACCGCATGTGTTTTGGTTTAAGAAGTAATTTTTAGAAGGTGGAAATATCAGTCGGATAAAACGTTGCTCGGGAAGATCGTTTTAAGTTTGGATCTGTTGGCTCGCATCTGTTCTTCCATCTCCAGCGGACTTGCCTTTGATACTTTGACATCCGAGTCTAAAAATCAAAATGTTTCTCAGAATCGGTCCCCATGTCAATACCAGTTTCTGGAATTTAACGCAATTTTCTTTTCTCGTGAAGTTAGTTTTTTTGTTTCGCTGGGAGGGGGAAAACCTCGGCATGTATTTGGCGTCTACAATCCCTGCCGCTGGAAATCATTCCCCCCCCCCCCCCCCCATTCCCAATTGTGGCCACTTGACAAGTCCCAATATTTCAATCAACCTTCCATTACGGCGCTCAGCTCTCCTTTCTGGGACCCGAAATGAAGGCCATTCCATTTGTTATTCTTACACCGACCACGGGGCTTACAGCCCGTCTTTAGATTTGATAGCCTCGCTGAAACAACTTATTTCTCTTGTCATGCTTCACGGTCAGAGAGAGAGGAGAGAGAGACAGAAAGACAGACTGTGCTGCAACAGAACACACACAGAGATCTGTTTGTTTAAAAATTGCAGCAGTAGCAGCGTGTGCTCGCCAGAGATGATTTACATTCCTTACGTGATTTTGTTGTTTCATTGACATCTCACGTGTCTGCGAGAGATTACGAGGGGGCACACGAGCGCGTTAATTATATTTTTTTAGGTTGCGGCAGCGATGCCGTGCAAGCGCGAAGACTATTCCTATTAAACTTTAATCACGGTCGCTTTAGTAACACACAGGGAGCCACAGATTTGGACCTACACCTCGCCCTAGCCTTACACGGCGTGACTGACGGGCCCCGCTTTCATGGAGGGGATTTTAAAATGCAAGAACCCTCTCTTGATTATTTTGGGGCTTTTTGCTTTTACAGCAGCTCCTATATTTCCTAAGAAGAACAAAAAAGCGTCCGTCCCCTCGGAATACGATGGCTCCACACGCTCGGGCCTCCCGCGCCGTGGTTGATCCGGTGCCCTTTGGAGGGGATTAACCGGACCGTTACATTTTACTGCTCTTGTAAATTAGGTCCCTTTGCGAAAGGTGAATTTTATTTCAAAAGGGCTCTCGCCTGCTTACGTTGTGTAAGCACCGGGGAATCGAGCGAGTTGGTGCTCTCTCACGGTGGCCCATTATGCCCGTCGTAACCCTACGGATTTCCTCGGAATACTTTCGTGATTTAAACACTCAATTCGGGCCTCGGCTTGTCATCACGGTCGCACGTTTTGACCATGTGATTTAAATTCACGCACCCTTACCCATTTATTTATTTTCATTATTATATATTTATAATAAATGTTTTATTGTTATATTTTTTTTGCCCCCCAACATCGCTGAATCATCCGGTTTTTCCACATCAATACCATCCCCTGCTCCCCTGCCATTGTTAGCATCGAGCCCAAGGTTGTTTTGGACGGCGCGCTGTGCCGCACGGTGCACAGCAGCGGTTGCGTGTCACGTCGACCGATGCGGCGCTTTCCACGAATTATTTCCATACCGAGGAACGCCGCCCCTCACCGTGGGCCCGGACACGTGGGCCCGGGAACGAACGTCTTTGTGAATGTGCAGTGTGTGTGTGCGCATGTGCGCGTGTGTGCGCATACGTGCGTGCGTGCGTACGTGCGTGCGCGCGTACGTGCGTGCGCACGTGTATGCATGTACGGGGCTTAATTTATCACCTCGATATTTTACGGAACGCGACTAGCTCGGCCGTCTCATAGTAGGGATCATTGGCATAAGGCACTACCACTAGAGTACAAAGTATGTATATCTTTAATAATCCCATATTATTGTACGCTATATCCCTATCAACCTATGAACAGGTTTATGACAAAATAGAGTGAGATGAATGTAGTATGCCAAATAACGAATTCCTGGACGGTTCCAGCTGAAACGAAGTACGTACTTTCGTGTGTACGAGCCAACTGGAGAGCAGCAATGTAGAGGTTAGAGCATCTGTGAAATAGAGCTTCATAACTCATCAGATTCCTCCAGTATAAATAAATATTGTGATTCTGATAGACTGCTGCGCTACGAACCGGGTGAGAGACAGAGTTAGATTCCTGGTCAGTCAACGTCAGTGACGAATGTCTGAACTTGCCCTGGGTATCCTCTAAGTTGACATGGCCTTAAATTTGTACCTAGCACCATGTGTAAACATCTGCAGTAGGAGAGACACGGGTGGACGGGGTGTGGTGCTGTCCCTTCAAAAAGGTCCTGGCTAACGGCATGCCTATACGGGGGATCTTTGTAATGTTTTGTGTACGAATTTAAAACCAAACCTAATAAGCACCACTGTGCGCACAGCCCTTGCTGCGGAATAGATACACGACCAACAAACGCCCGAGCAATAATAATAATAACGCAACATCTGTCTAGACTAGGGGGGGTGGGGGGGGGGTTTGCAAACTTTCTCTCGCCGCCGCGACTCGCACGCGAGAGAGAGGAGAGTGCCCGTTTGGCCGTGCCATCTGAGTCGTGACGACGGTGCGTGCGTGGCGCCGCAGTTGCATTCGGCCCGCACCGTCGCTGTTACCGCACCGTTTCGATTGCCCCCCGGGGGGTTGGCCGTGCATCAGCGGCGACGCGTCGTCGTCGCCGGCGCGGGTCCGTGACGACGCTCATCGGCTTGCTCGTGGCGTTTACCGCGCGCGGGGAATATCGGCTCGGCGGGGACTCGCGTGGGAAGAAATGAGGCTCGCTGCCAAGGTGTAGCCCCGCGGCACTGGAGATGTTGCGAAGCGAGCCAGCGAGCTCCCGTGAGCCCCGGCAGGCTCTGGCTTCACGCAAGGTCCACCTTCTGTCTCAGCAACTTAATCCGCTATCAGCTAAAGCTAATACGTCTGGCCTGACAATATCCCCTCCATCATTGCAATCATTTTGCACCGATGGATTAGCCACAGAACAAACCAAGGCATTCTCTCGGTTTCAGTCTGAGTAAGTGCCTCTAATATATGAGTCATAGGAATGTTTTTTTTGAGACGCTCGCAAAGACATGCGACGAGTCCAAAAATGCACCCGACCTTATCAGATGTCAGAAGCCAAGCTGGATTTGAGCCTGGATAAAGCTGGGAT